TACAAGAAAAGCTAAAACGAGACTCGGGTGGTAAAATAATATGTTGCACAAGAAAATACGATAGCAAAATTAAAATGGAAAAAGTATTTGACTTATTTGAGGCATGGATGTTTTAGCTTGTCCAGCGCAGATTATACATGCTTATGTATGAAATGTTCTGGATTGTGTGAGAGATATCTTAGCCAGCTAAAGGCTCACTGTTAACTGAGTTAAATCTTAGCTATTACCGAAGAATTGTTCACTAACCACAAGCGTGTATTTTTCTAACAAAATGACAAGTTTTAGACTTGAAATTGTACGAATGAATGAACACAAACCATTTGTTCGTTTTCGCTTCGTCGCATTTCAATGAAAAGCAACCAGAGAAAGCTAGCGCTAATGGACTCGGTGGGGTTCTAACACACACGACGCATCACTTTATGGCGAAACATGGTGTTAACTAAACGTTTAAAAGGTGTTAAATTTCAACCAAGTTTAAACATGGATAACTACGTCACCATGGTGCACATATGCACTGACAATTTAGCAATATACATCTTGGACAATGCCCTGGACATCAAACTGTCTTTCATTTTCTATACGGAATCTCATGCGCGGGGGGTGGCCATCGAAATGTCGGTACTACAGAAGAAAATTGACTTCTGCTGTACGAGTGCAACCGCGTCTTCGTATAGTCTAACTCAAATCCAACTTTTACTGTACCAACTTGTAATCAATCCTTCATGAAAACAATTTTTTCCATTACTGCAAACTGGCGATGGGTATATGTATAAAAACCCTGGTTTCTTTGGAATGTTCAACAATGAATTTCATTACCGTAATAATCGCGTACTTCTTTACTTCAGTTTTTAGACGATATACTGTGGATTATACTGTTTGTTTTTAACTTTATCGAACATTCACATCTGCTATATAACATGCTTTAAAAAATATGCCGTTAGTTTACTATAAACGTTTTTACAATATGTCCGTACAAGTGAGCATTTATCATGTTTTCACTTTCGGATTTTTTTTCTACGTACTCACAGACCCAGAATATCAGAGATTAGTTTTGATCATTATTAGAAGCATATTTGTGGTCTAGTTTGACAACAATTAAATTTAGGTTTTCAGTCCTATTATATGAGTACAATAATATTTGTGTGGAAAATAGCACGTTCAGGGATAAAATTGGCTTATTGAATACCATACAATTGAATTCTTAAGCTCTAACTAATGACAAACCTAGCCAGACATTTTTAGCATTCCTATCCATTAACTGAAGACATTTTGTATGAACAATATCACGCCCGCAGGTGTGTTCGAAATTTTTTGAGTGTCGCTGAATGTGTATCTCGATATAATATTCTTATTAAGGCGAAAGCGTATTTGTCAGCGCGCTGGTCCAACAATATTGGCATTTAGAATATGGACCCAGTTTTTATAATTTATACCAGTTTTTCTGGAAAATCTAGTTCTGTCAATGTCAGACAAGAAAGATTTAGTTTCATTTATTCTGATAGATTATCGAGTGCATCTTTGTGTTCGCCCTCCAAAACGTTTTTCCGAATGGGAGTATGGGACACTACTGAATTATATCTCTTTTCGATGAGTTAATTCTGATTATCAGAAGAGAGAGATGTGAAGTGTTTTCATGAGAGAGTTAGGAACCAGTATGGGATAAAATGTTGCTGTTTTATGTTTCCACCTCGTATTATTGTTCATGCTACATGGAAATGTATGGTATCGAAGGGCCATTGGGATTAGATATGTTCTTGCGAGTGATCACGTGCTTTGTCTTATTTGACAATGTATAAGGTTCATATCTATTCCTTCGGTTCACGTTAATTCCACTGCTAGGCCAAGCTAGCCCATTCTAGTAATTTTTTCGCGGATCGGTGTATTCATCAAAATATCCAACAGAGCGCAGCGAACGTTTATTTAGATTTCCAATAGAATGATAAAGTTTCTTTACCTGGCTCGCTACGCTTCAATAATTTTCAATGAGTGCTTTGTGACGAATGTGTGCGCTTCTTTCTACCTTGCCTCGGCTAGAAAGTCCGACTAGTCATTATTTAACGAAAGGTTCTATGAAGGTCTAGCAGACGATTCATGTCAGTAGTTGAACTGGTACTTTAATTAGAGCAGGAAGCCGATACGACTTCTGAAATAGCTTGAATAGCACAGGAAATAACATTGGGATAGGTATCGTCGGCTTTGACATTTTAATTCAAGATTATGTAGGGAAGGAATTTGTCAAAAATACAGGAAGGCGTTTGATATGATAGTAAAATTTTTATTTTTATTTTGAATAAGGATTTGCCAGTTTTCTAGTGGGTTCATAATTTGAAAATAACTAAAATTTAATGTGAGATATGGAAAATGTCCGTGAAAATAGTGTGATGTTGGTTATTGTAGAGAATCAATATTATTGGAAGATTATAGGAGTGTAACTATCGTATTCACGTCAACATAATTCAAAACTTAGAAATCTAATTTAGCCAGGAAATAGAGGATTTAAAGATTTTTTGTGAATTCACTGAAATCGATATAATACGTTAGTCAATACGTAGACTTATATTATCTGTTTTTTATTTCTTGTAATATATTAGCTGTAAGTAAGATATCGAATATAAAATATCAATAAAGAATAAAGCCTACGCCGCGAGGCTTGTAATCACAAAGAGGACCACAAAGCTCCCGAAGCTGGTCCATAGGTCAGGCTTTATGTAAACAGTCAAGAATTATCTATCGTCAGCATATGTGATGGTAGTTAAACAGCAGCGGCTGGTGTCGTTACTGGCTAAGTACATAACACTGGAAACGCAATGTTGAAATTTAGAGAGAATGAGAACGGTTTAATATGTCATTTGGTAGTTAGTAATTTTACTGTGCTGTTATTTTATATGTCTCATTGCCATCAGTGGAAACATGATTTTGAGAAAAAAATTTATTGCACGAATTGCATTTATTTTAAACTAATAACGAAGAAAAAATCAGAATACATGCAACACATACATGCCGCATAACAAACAAACTTCAATTTGAAATATGACAAAATTGGATAGCGTTTTCGTAAATTGCTCGTTTGTGGTTATGGTTCATATCACTAGCCTTGCTCACTTAGCCGCGAAGAGTTGAACGAAACACTCAAAAGAAGTGATATTACGTCATCGCAAACAATATTCTTGTGTCATTCCGGTCTATAGATTTTAGCACGTTAAGGTTTATTGACCCCGTCGTCCTCGTGTGGTAATAAATTTAGGCGAGGTATATTTGTTATACACAGGATATCACCCAGCTGGAGAGATAACACAGAAACTTGAGAAATGAGCTAAGTTACTTGTTGTTACGCAAAACATTCGGATACCAAATCTGAATTAGATTGGGAATTGTATGCAAGGTCGAAATACTTCTAGTTATTACGGATTATTGTAGTATATATAACAATAATTCGATATTTAACAGTCACAAATTACAACGTAATCATGATATCGCATTTTTGAAGTTATGTCAGATCAAAGCAACTAAAATGGAGTAACTTGCTATATTTTTCAAGTCGAACACGAAAAAAATCCTCTGAATCTCACAAAAATTAAGGCTGCGGGGTTTATTTTAACAAGTTTTCAAAAAGCTAGGCCAATTTTGTTGTGCCTGGATTGACATGTCGTTTACATGCTAACCAGGTAGATCAAAAATTGTTCTTGTAAGTTTATAAATTCAGATTCGTAGCTTATTTTATAAATTGACGACCAGCTTATTATATATATATCAACTCAACCCTACCATAATACCCTATGATTTAGACAATATATAGAACTGATATTCCCAAATAGAGTTTAAGCAGGCAATGTGCAGATCCATTCTAAAGAAGTGTGAGGTACATCACGCTCCACTGAGAAGTTTGATCATAGTAAGGATAACATAGTAATTGAGCAAAAACAATACACTCCATGGGGTACCGGGAACTGGGTCAAACAATGTTAGCTTTGTAACATGATATTGTAACGTTTTTGGGAAGTGGGTCAGATACATAGAGACGGATTCGTATGTCACATAAACGTGTTAGAAAACAAACAGTTATTGTTAGTTTAGCAGTTTCACTCGTGAATTTTGACAAATCAGCAAGGTAGATTTAATGTTGAACTACGTTACGTATGAAGGGGTATCAAAATTTAGACAGTTTTCTGGCAAGACAACACTAATTTAAACTGGTATCTCAGTAGATAGGTTTGTGATTTTCAATGTAAAATTGAGATACGCATTTAAATGAAGTTTTTAGTTCAATGGCCTGCGCTGCAGATATTTTGCTGCTACAAACGTATATTTTTGGGTCAATAGACATTAGGGCAATTCACGAAGTAGTAGTAATAGTTTTTGCATTCGATACATGATTTATTGTGCAGCCCATCTGCGTCAAAATATAGTGATAGAGAGAGAGATCATTGAAATTGCCATAGACATAAATCGCCAGTGTATCGTAGACTTGTATTATATATCGAATCATGTCACACGACCTGTATACGAGGAATTTCGAAAAGTAAGAAATTGAAGAGGATAGTTTACGTCATAAGTGATAACAAAGATTGTCGCATCAATTGAATCGAGTCCAATGATAAAGGTAAAAGGACAGGATGAGAAAGCGATTCAATTTAAAACTGTATAGATCAATGTTATACCTACCTACTGTTATTATTATTTGTTTACAACATAATTGGTTATATAAATGACAGGGCTTGGATTTGTGCTTATGGAATATACATAGATAGTATTACTCATACGAGGTAGATTTGTGTTTAATGAGGTCAATTTAAAACACAAATTTGTTTTGGAGTCTTCTAAACTTGTTTAACAATAAAAAATGTGTGCTTCTTTCTCTAGACACCCCATCACCCATTCATTCCTTTATGAAGCATAGAATGTTTTTCATCATAGTCAGGTCATTTAAATTCTGCCATTGTTTATATTTAAGTAATTAATATAGTGACAAACTGACAAGCATTTTACATTATTTTTTACAGTCTTCTCACGTAAACAATAGAGTAAATAAAGATCAGGAGTCTTCAACAGTAACTCCGGATCAGAAGATGAAAATTGACTCATCATCTTCTAACATAGACATCATCAAAGTTGGTGAGTAATATCTTTAGTTTTTTAACCACCAAATGTATTCTTTAGTTGCTGATTGTTCAGACATTTTTTGCGAAATAAGCAATCATTGCTTTGGGTAAATGATGATAAGATTCTTACTTGTAATCTAAACATATTTTTAATGATTAATTGCAGATTGTGCAGAAAAACAACTTTTTAAATTAAAACTTATTACCTATGAAATATATTGTGCACCGTTCTAAATCATTATGTTTATGTAAATTGGTTTCGCTACTCTGAATGTTGCAATTTCGGTACACGTTACAACCGCCATGAATTTTTCATTATTTTATTGTCCCATTTATATATGGCGAAAACGATGTGTAGGGTGTCCAATTCATTTATTGTTTTGGCCCTCACAGGTACACAGAATGAGGTAACAATACTAAACAATTACTGAATTAAAAACAACAAACTTGGTTACGGTTTATTGAGAACCGACTTCATACCAAAATCGAAATTGTAAAGACTTTATAGACATGTATATTTAAAATAATGGCCAATATTTCACGACGCAGAGTGTGAATGCTCATTATTTTTTTTTATTACTTCAGATACATCCGGAGCCAAATTTGAACGTCAAGCAAATCTTCGTCGTTCCCAACGTTTGTCGTCAACTTCCCAGATTCGACAAAGAGCCAACGCATCACAGAGACGACAACTTCGTCACAAGCATAAGACTCTGACAGGATTGCCATCAGAAATAGGTAAATATTTGCTTTGGGGAATTAGTACAAAAATCGGGAATCCGCAGAATTTTGGAGTAATTCATTTAAAACTGTCCCAAAACGCAGTTTGATTATTTCCCCTACATGCTTACAAACATTGTCACGGCTTTCACCTACAAATTTGACCGAATTTTCATTTTTTGTTGATGTAACTTTAAGTACATGCACTTTCGCTTTGAGCTGATACCTAGTACAGGTGGTGCGTTTGACGCAATGTTTATTTACCAGCATGATCAACGCGCTTCTCATTTTCGAGAATTTAACGTTAAGTTTCTGTAAAAACAACACTGCACTGATTCACCTCATATCATTGCCTTTGTCCAAATTTGGCAAAATGCTTATCCCATAAGTATACCTTTATAAGTTGACATTAAATTAGTATAATGTAGTATTGTCGCATTCTTTAAATACTGCTCAAATATGTAATTAAGTTTAAAAACAGGACGCCCTGTCGGATTGTATTTACTTTCACTCGGTCAAGAAAAGAGCATTACAAAAGTCGTCTGAGTACTGATAGGAGAAAGTTACATCAATAAAATCGTTTTATTGAGTTATTTACACAATATCTCTATGTTTACACTGATTTTGAATGGAGCGGATCATAGACGATGGCGTTATATTATGAATAATTAGTTTTGGGCTCGACGTAGCCTACTAAATTTAGTGAACCCCAGGTAAAATGATAACTATGGTTATATACCCGAAACCTCTAGCAAGTGACGCCAATATAGTTAAATCAATTCGCCAAACACTAAATCATAGTGCTCATTGATAGTTTATATGACATATTTCCTATAATTCTCAAAAAGTAGATGCCACATTTCAATAGGTGGAATAAATAATGTACCGTACCATGTCAATAGGTGGAAAAACCCAAGGTTTTGGTTTGTTCAACGGGTAATATGGTGCGAAATTACAAATATTGAGCTTAGCGTTCAATGTTTCAATTATTACATTTTTATTATGTTTAATGAAGGTATTCATCTATACTAAACTACTTTTTTTTTCTATAGTCAATAGCGGTGTACGACCCTACAGTCTACATTCAGACGCCAACAATTCCTACATTGAAGGAGGATTAAGCGACGAATCGAGGTCTTTGATAAACGGTCACGGTAGGTGTCATATTCAATGTGAACAGTCTTTTGTGTGTGACTGTGGACTTTTCTATACTCTTTTGTTCAAAGCAATGTCTTATTCACGAAACCACCGAAGATGTGAGCACCATGTGAGGGGATAACAGATATATACATCGGAATATGTAATTCAAGATTTTGACGTTATTGAAAACAATGTAATTAAATGACTGAGAAATTCGTCTCTCAAAAATCATATTATCTAGTTTTGTAATGTACCAAATATTTTTCCGAGCAAGACTCGGTGCAAGGGGCGACTGATTTGAATCGTTTGAATCAGGATATTTTTGATTCAGCACATAACTTATACATTTTTCGTGAGGTAGGGAGCATGAGGTTTTCAAACGAAATGCGTCCTAATTGAAACACAATATTTATTATTTTATAATTTAGTTGTGTCGCCAAATCAAAGAAACGCTGAAATTCAAACCGATGACGTCAAAGTCCTTCCAATAACTCCGTCACAGCGAAGGATGAAACAAAAAACAATTAAAAGCCACCACGCAGTAAGTACAGATGGCCAGACTGAGTGCAATGTAATTCAAATTATTGCTATTTGTAATTAAATATTTAGATTTATTATATGTGATCTGTAATGGTGTAAGTTTAATTAAGGTAAGGTAATTGACATTATGCCAAACAAAACGATTTAGGTGATAGGATAGTAAACGAAACCAAAATTCCCAAAAACTCTTGATTACCGTGACGCAGAATTGGCCAAATTAGTGAATATCGCGAGAGAAATTCTTCATGTCTTTAATGAATTATGTATGTATCATTTAGAGTCCAGCGAGCTCACACGGATCCACAGAATTTTTAGAATCTCCTACAGCAGTTCCATGCCCTATTGTACCGAAGATGAAACAATCTTCAACGCCGATAAACGGAGTTCATGTGAGTAGAGAAAATTTCATTTGCACAATGCTCATCAGTACGAAAGTCGCAGTCGCCGTTTTTCCAAGTTTGACACAAAATTTAATGTTAATTCATTGCTCAATCGTCATTCTGCAATTGAACCCCCTATCGCCAAAAAACTCAATCAGATCTCGCACGGCAATTTTTTTTTCAACAAGCAATTAATCACATTCACCTAAAGAGCAAAAATAATTGCGATATTGTGTCAAAAAAGCTGTTGAACAAAGAACACATATTACACCACACTGTAAAAGTGTTGATTACCAATGGTTAATCGTGTTGCGCAATCTGTGACGTCAGTCTCGTTTCTTTTTAGCCACACCTCGTACATTTCACCCGCAACGAAAATACAGACTATTTTGAACCGAATGCGGTATGAATAACATTGATATTTGAACACGTTTCAGTTTTCAATGGAAAAATTTCTGACCCTTTAATGTTGTTACACTAGTGAATGCGATGAGACATAAACGCATTTTTATACAAATTGAATAATACGGTATGTGAGCTAGTTGACACATGGCTATATCTAAGTGAGTTATAGGATTTTATCTCGGATTACCCCAAATCAATATAAACATGTATTTCAAGCATGCCGATATCGCATGGTCCGTAAGAAGTACAAACTCTTAACGGTATTTTTATTCGACAATACAGGATAGAGATTTGATTCGACCAAATTCACTTGATGTCAAGAATGAAGACACATCAACAGATGAAGGCCGACATACAGGAGAAAGCAACCCACCAACACCAGTACGTAATGCTACTCCACAAGAGGTATGGACCTACGAGTTATTTCGCAAATTAAAGAATTTCGTACAAAAAGGAAGTAGCGTGCTATTGAGAAAATATTATTTTTGTATTGGACATTAGACAAAGTTCATAATTGAATTCATCAACCTGAAAATTCACATAAATTGACCAACACCCTAACATCCATAAACATTCAATGGGATTAGAAATGTTAAAATTTAATCCACTGTTCATAAGAGATTTGGATAATATTTCAATATCAAAAATGAAACTTTGTTATTGTTCAGCTTTCCGCAAGCCCACAACTACAGGGATTATCTCCCATCACATCAAATGTCACCAATGATATGAAACCGAGCGACATCGCAATGAGAATGAATGGAGCTAGACTTCAACAGGTATGTGGATTTTCATATTTAAAACAAATTAATATGGTCTAATTACTGCTGGGAATAACGAAACGAATTATATGATAGATTCGAGCTTCATTTACCATGTTCCAAGCCTAGATTCTCTGTAAATGCAGCAACTAAAGCTGTAGGAAGCGACAGAATTATTTTGGCCCAGTCTACCCAATTTATTTTAAGATGGCTGAGCTCGAGATGACAACAGAGCTAGAATAATTGAACTAAATAGCCACTAGCTGATCTCTTACAAAATCCTAAAATTCTTATTGTGTAATATAAACCAATATATATTTCCTGTCTTATAATAACTATTCGTATTATGTATTGCTTAGGATCCTCGATTGTTATATGTTTCTTCCAGTTAAAGTTCAGCACCGTCTTTAGCATTGTGTAATACAAACCAATATATCTATTCCCTGATTTATAACTAATCCTATATGTATTACAGGGCGAGGACAGGGCATCATCAGGATTCTGGAGCGGAACAGAAAGCAACCAGCATTCTTCTACTTCCGACATTACTGCTGCTCAAAGTGCTGTTATAACCAATGCCTTGAATAATGTAAGTATACAAAGAAACTGGTTTATTATCTAAAATTATTGAATATTATTTAATTTGATAACGTTAATACTGTGATGAACCTAACATAGAAATGAGCAAGCTTCTACACTAGGCTTTTATTAGCTCAAACGTCAACTAGGAGTCTTAAAGCAGCACGAACCAAAGAACGACTTTCAAATCAAAACACCATGGTATTGGACCACGAACAGTATACGTCAGCAGATTCAAATGTCGTGACTGTTTAATGCGTTGCTAGATTCTAAGACACAAATATTACCACACTACAGGCTTGGATGTGTCTTATAATCGGGAAAAATTGTGGTTTCAGACTACAATTTGGTATAGCATCAGGCTCTCAACGCTTTCTCATTTGTAATGACAGATAATTTATCAAAGATGTTCGAAGATAACTGGATATTTGTTATGGTATTGTTGTAAATAGCATTTATATCCGCAATAATATGTATGAGTGGTGGGTTATAGGTAGACGAAGTGCCTCACAAGAAACATACACCGTGCTTCAAATAATATATGTCATAAAATATATACCTATTTTGACAACAATACATTTAAATGTCGCGATTCTGTCAATTTCCATATTCTTGAACTTAGTAGGAAAACGAGATGATGTTTAACTTAAAACTATTTAATTGCAGATGGTGAAGCAAAAGAAAGGCGGAACTTCACCGATATATTCCAATTCATTGGGTAAAGTCAGCCCGATAGTGGACAACAGGCCGTGGATTACAAGTTCATCGAATTCTCTTTCAACCATGTCAATAAACAGCAAACTGAGCACTTTGGAAGACGGTAGGTTGAATATTGGCCAATGTTGGATTGAGTTTTGGAAGATGCAATTATTGTTATGTCTATTATGTTTAGGAAAACACCACTACATCAGGCGCACCATCATCTCTTATTATTTTTGCAATTTGATCATTTTTCAAATAATTTTTCTATAATCTGTTAAATTTCCGTAAAAAGTGTTGATAGTTTCATAGTTAAACTTTAAAGGATGATCTTATGTTATATTGCTTTTTCGGTAAATGTTTTGTAAGTTGGACCTGACGGTGTTTGCATTTCAGGTCAGAGATCTCAGGTCCTAAACTTGCACCCGTCACATTATCATGATTGTCATTAATTGCATATGCTATCTACTGTTGTAGAGTCTTTCTGAAAATTAAAGTGTACTGTATCTCATGTACAATATCTCATGAACTGTCCCATAAAGTTATTTTTTAATACCATGCAAACCAGCCAATGCTCTCATTATTTAATACCATGTTGTATATAATGATATGAATTGAATTCCTTTTACATATATTCGTTTCTCTACAGATCGATACCAAAGCACCGCCTCTTCAGTTATCAGCGTGACTTTGAACCGTTCATCCAACAACAACAGTACATTGTCGTTGAACAGCAGCGCATCTGATAGTGGGACAGCTATATCCGCTGCCGCTATGCTCAAAAAATCGCGCAAAGGAAGAATAAACGGTTCTAGCGGCGCTTACAATTTTATGAACTACGAAGCAGATCCTTTGGAGAACGAAACGGAGATTTCCAGAACAGTTAAAAATCGTAGATCTACCAGAAGCATGAAACACCGGGGAATAAAAAAACGCATGGGTGGTGATGATACCATTTCGATGTCAAGTATGGCGGATTCGTCCCCACAGAACACTGACCCAGATGCTCATTCGGTACATTCTGCGGGAGGTCTTACTAACGACACCACTAGCCTGTGTGAGTCGATGTTTTCAGTAGAGCAAGATGGATACATTAATTCTGCAAATCACGAAAGCGGGAATACCAAAAGCCAATCACCAAATTCGACGATATCGGATAGTACGATCGCCGCAACACCGATTGCTCAACAATCCGTGGAAGTAAAAGTCACTTCACCTATTGAACAGCAGAAAGCGCAAGCTTTTTTCGGGGATGAGTTCAAACATGCCATAGAAAGCAGAAACAATTATAATTCATACAACCGTGCTGTTAATAGCAATCATTCCACTCCAAAATCGTTACTTTCTCCTCGTGGAAAATCAGCCTCTGTGAAGACTCCAAAACATGTAGAATCTCCTGCTTTGAATTTTCAGACAGAGCTCAATAAAAGACTTTCTTTGCGACAAACTAGTGATTCAAAATCTCCTAATAAGAAAGGAAAAATGAAAACACCACCTCCTCCACCTAAACGGGCATCAAGTTTATCAAACAGTGCCAGTCCATCACCGTCATTGTCTCATAGATCAATTCCCGAAAAAGAAATATCCCCATTGGTTTCAAATATTTCTCCAGGAGACAAACTTACGCCAAAAGCCTATCCGGCTCCGGAGACTCCATTGATGTCACCAGAGGTATTTTACATGGAAACTCCACCGCCTCCCCCACCGGTTGATGTATTCCCCGATCCACCAACGCCTGACGAATTACCAGACATTTCATCCGAAGTGGCGATGATAGAAAAGAAACGTTCATTAAAAGCACAAAGGAAGAAAAGTAAATCACCGCCTCCGACGAAGCCTCAACGAACGGCTTCTCAAAGATCTACCAGCCCACCATCAATGAGCCCACCACCACCGCCGCCTGTTCAGGTCGCCCCTAAGTCGCCTGAAGCACTATCGATATCCCCGAAGCCAGAAACTTCACCTAAAAATGTCACTGCTGCAGCGCCGTACATGTCAATCGCAGAACAAGCAGCAGCAATGGGGAACAAATTTTCATTGAAGAAGAAAACAATACGAGAGAAGCAGGCTAACATTGATCCAAGTCCTGTAAAACCAAAGGTCGAGGACAAACCGAAACTCACAAAACAGGCTGCTGTGGAGTCTTCAAACCCGGTTCCAAAATTACCTGAAGCCAAAGAACAAGCCAAACTTGATACTAAAGTAGATGAACACGCACAAATAGCAACCACTGCTTCTGCCGAAAAAGTTCCACCTCCTACCGCACCTAAATCAACTTCTATTAAAGTTACAGCCCCCGTTGTGGCGGAGAAAACAAATCTTGAGCCAGAACAACTATCAGAGAGCGTTAAGACAGAAGATAACAAATCGCCAGTGATAAAAGATAACTCAGCAGTAAAGATTCCTCCACCTACAGCACCGAAATCGACTTCAATCAAACCAACAAATAAGACTCCGCCAAAAGTGAGCCCCAAACCGACAAGCCCTGCCGAATCCTCTTTCGAAAATAAGCGTACACGCGAGCAATCTCCATCGTACAGAGCTTCAGTGGCCAGAGCAGCTTTCTTCTCCAGTGTGTCACCACCTGCACCGAAGACGGAAACAAAACCAAAAAAAGTTCCGCTTGTTGAGCCCACAGCCGAGACGACGGAGAATAAACCTGACGAAATACCTATAACTCATGAAAGTAAAGAGAGTACTGAAAATCAGAAACCCGATACCAATAAGCCAGAAGATGTGACCGACAATCAAACTGAAACTACTGAAAAACAAACAGTATTGAAAGTCGATAAGAATGAAATTGAAGTCGATAAGGCACTTTCGACCACGGATGACAGCGAAAAACAAACGAGCATTCCAGAGCCGATCGACGAAGCAACAGCTCAAACCCCTGATAGCGTTGACTGGTTGGAGAAAATAGAAGAATTTTCAGGTCCAAATCGTGCTCCCAGCTCCCCATCCCCCGAAGTTCCAGCTGAGCAGGATTCGGCTGCTGCAAGGCTTGGTTTGAATACGGAATCTGCAAAACAATCCCCCAAATTTTCAACATACGAAAACCTGATGTCTGCTATTCATAAGTAAGTACTGAATTTTATTCAACGTTTTTATGCTTTATGCTAAGAGAGGAGGGATCAATCAAACTATTAGAAAATCTGTAATCTAAATTCGTTTACTGGAATATTTCAAAATTTGGATTCAAAAAGGGCTTCATTTAAGCAACCACACAAACGTAAAAATCCTCACGTTTACTCGACGTAGCAATCAATTTTTACCTCTGAGGTGGTAGGTTGGCTTGCGCTTTGCATCACCGATATACCTAATGCGAATGGAGGACACAGGTAATTCAGGTCCCGTTTCTGGGCTACCATACTTGGTTTCTATTTATTCTTACAAATACGTTTTTCACCTATTACAGATCAAAGCGAGAGACATTATCAGGAAAATCTATCGGTGCATCCCCGCCATCATCGCCTGGAACAAACAACGAAGCATTCTCCTATAAAACGTCATCAACAAACGGCAACAAAAGTCCTGGAAATACACTGGAAAGAAAAAGAAACTCAAGGTAGTTTGAATTATTTTCATCTAAAAGAAAATTTACATCTGACCTCATTAGAAAAAATTTACTTCTGCATCTGATTTGCTCTAGAACCATTATTTTATTTTTACATTACATTCAATAAGCAATAGAGAGCACATGTGCTGTAGGATGAAAGAACAGTCATTGATTGGAGTACAACAACAACTCACATTTATAACATATTTAAAACTTATATTATGCTCTTTCAGACTTTCAAGCAATGGACATCGCAACGGAATATCACGAAAGAGCAATGGAGGTACATCGCGCGATGACTTCAAGGCGCTTCTGCTACAAAATGCCTGCAGGTAAGAAACCTAGTTTGATGTGTTTTTACACGGGACATCAACAGCGCGACAACACACAAATTCTTAGCACTCGGTGTACGTAAATTTTGTGTTACACGTTACTGTCTGGCTAGGAACAGTGCACTTTTTTTAATGAAGCTTAATCACTCCCAACGGCGTTGTATAAGCAACACTGATAGTCAGAAAAGTCCATTTTGCTCAATTCGTTCTCTTTGGAAATCCCTTGGTAAATTTACTCTATTTTATAAATCAAACAATCATCCTTAACGCAATTAAATTATCGTTTGTAAAAGTTAGCCAATTTGCGAAAGATGTCAGGCTCTATTCATTCACAAGCAGAACCTTATAACTCTAATTAAATAAATTTTCAGGGGCACTTCTGGATCTCAGATGACTGCGACTGAGAAACTACTACGCAATAAACCCAGCGCATCGGCATTGCTAACTAGACAACGACCTGCAAGCGTAAATGATATCTTGGACAGCAAACCATCGGAAAATGAAGATGACGCAGATTCAGGTACGAAATGTGATGCAGCCTTAGAACACTAAATCTTCCGTAGGAAGCGAGATGTTGCGCACGGTTTGTTACGTGAATATTCTGATCTTTAGCATTTCAACATGCAGGCCCATTTAAATGGCCATTTAACAATATGACCCACTAAATGGGTCAAAATTGCCTTTGCGGTTAACCTGTTTTAAAGAACATTAATTACATTTGCCAGAAAATCTAAATAAAATTGGGGTCTCACATGGTTGAAACATTTTCTTGTAATCTATGATTAACCTTCAGTATTAATATATTGCAATAAATTACAGAGAACACGAGACCAGTCTTTACACTGAGTGATATCAGATCTGCCATCACGTCCGGATCATCTACAACCGGTCGACAAGGAAGACCAAACAGACGTGGAAATAGAACAGTTGACGCAGGAGCGAGAAACTACGCCACAATGTCAGTGGTTTATGGGAAGAAACATCCACCACCATCCATGAGCAGCAAGTAAGAAATTTATTTGTATTGTTTATACGTCCAATGCAATGAGAATTATCATTTGAACTGACGATAATTCCCTATAATGTGACATTTCTGTGTTGTTTTCATTTTACCACTTCGAACAATGCTTCGGATAAGTTTGCATATATAGGCGGAGAGCTACAGGGATTTTAAATAGCCGAAAACTTCTATACTCATTAACTTTATTCTGCCACACAGAGTACGCCCGAATTATGTGAACCGAGATTGCGGACATCGGAACGTAGTATGTGTACCAGTACCAGGTTAGGCCATAATTTTATTCCAATTTTCCCTATTTTAGTTCTATTACGAGTTCGGGGACTAGCCAAGTGATTCCTGTGATATTTTTACCTGAAATTATGGCCTAACCCCAACCTGGTACACATACTATGTTCCGCTGTCCACCATCTTGGTTCACATACTTCGAGAGTACCCCACACAGTCATGGTAATTGAACGAATTAACCACTAGACTAGGCCATCTGTAATGCAATCGACACCGAAAATTTTTTAATATATAAGTCCCAAATTTCAATACAATTATACAAGAATAGAAGAAAACAAAAAGGGATTCAAATATCATCAGAAAACTCTAAATTTTCAACTTTGTGTCCGTTTTTACACATGTTATAACCCTAAAATGCAATTTATTTTATTCAGATATAACACGAGGAGCCGGACTCCGACTCGGCCAATGATGGCAATTTCTGAAGATAGCGAAACTGAAAAATCTCCAGAACAAATTCATAAGATGACAGAAAGGTGAAACAAGTAAAGAAAGACTCGAACAAAAAGTTCCAAATGGAAAAAAACTCATAAAGAGCCGATCTCGGCGCCATTGTATGAAAGGCTAAGAACTCTGATAACAGAATCGCTTGAGCAATAATGAATCAATTACTGATTCACCTGCTTTCATCATTCGCGCGTGCTACGCTAAAACAATCGTTCCCGCTCCCGAGCATTTGCTTCTCAGACATGTTCGACAAAAACATGTGTAATAACTGCAGTATGCTGTTGTCTTTATCTTTGAGATTAGAGTACTTTATGCTGTACATATCGCAAATGAATTGTATAAGTGTCCTTCAATTTTTATCTTACAATTTTCAAGCCAATTTAATAACTGTTTGTTGAAACCCTGATCCAACTACATTGTGTGAGTAATCAACTAATTAACGTTGGCTAAAATATCTTGTTAGTCAATCTAGCAAAACAAAATTAATTTATATTCCCCCCATCGCTGCGCATTCGTGAGATTTTCACCAATTTACAAATTTATTTCAACTGCAAAGGGAATAACTGTCCAGTTAACCTGGCTCAGGCAAGACTTCGGTCGCCTGAAATTCTGCGGTCGATAAACGGTTTTTAAATCTCTACGAATTAAGAATAAGTCGGTGACTGCTTGCGTATAGCCGTGTTCACCGAGCATGCAAATCACGATATTACCACTTTGTAAGTTTGAATGAATATCGGTGTTCAGAATTTAAATTAACTCAAAATCATGGGGAAAATATTAATCTATTTCACTTTATTCAAGTCAGACCTGGTTGACCTAAAAATTCCACGAGGGCCTTCTATTCTTTATCTATTTTTTTTTTGCTGAGAATTTTTCAAAATTCACTATGCTTTTTGACCATATCAGGCTTATGATTCGTTACTCGCATACTTCTATACTGGGATATTTATATTATGTTTGCACTCATTCATAAACTCTCCTCCAAAGTTTGACATTCCAAACAGACAATTGAGGTATGAATTTATTGTCAGGAAAAGAGCAACATTTTTGACAAATAGAGAACCTTAGTTTCAATTATCTGTATTGTTAATAGACAAATTTTAAGCCGAATTCCGAGTAAGTTGTTATTTCAAGATTATATTTAATCGTATTTTTGTGAGTCCACTTCACCGAGAATTAGACAAATTTCTTTCATTGAAATTCATCATATTTTGTATTCATATTTACCACAATATTTCGGTTAAACTTGTGACCATCAGAGTTAAAAATATAGCTGCGATTATGACGGTTCAGAGAAGAAATCAAATACTTTTCGAAATTACGTTTCAGTGTGGTACTATGGGCATGGGCTTCTACAGCGCTGGTCACGTTTTAGAGGCATCATATTCTCAAAAACAAAAAATATTGGACTGGTATGAAAGTGGTGTGGATATGTTTGTTTTACTTGATTTTATTTTATTCATTCGTTACTTATGTCTTTCAATGCACCTAATAAATTTCAATTGCTTGTCTTGTATGTTTTGTGCATAGTGTATGCCTAGCAGTGAATATCTTTAAAGGTAAGAAGTGTTCTTTTCTAAATTCTAAGAGTTACTTATAAACGAGTGTTAAGCAGTTAAATAAACAAAATGCCAATAATACTAATTGCGCCAACCAATCGCATCTAAAATACGGAACTTCGTCAGAAGTAAAGTAGGCAAGTACAATACACAATTTTTCGGGTAGGACTGGAGTTTCTTGAAGTATTTTTAAAATTCCTGGCTACGCGCCTGAATGAGATGTACCCAGATTGTCACAGAGCGAGAGTGCGTCCAATGTGGACCGGGGGACATATTTTGGTCTAGGTTCCAAAGCTATAATTGTTTTTCTTTTTACTTTGGGAAGCGCCTGATGCCTGTTTTTAGGTTTGGGAGTACATCCCTAGTTTTTTCTTAAAACCTTTGAAATGTCAAGTTTTAGTGCGCGACGTATAGTTAGTATATCAAAATGATAGTTTCACCTTATAGGCACGGCCGTCTCTCTTCTCGTCTATCTATTCCAGTGGTTTTTAAAACCTTTTACCGACTACGTACCACTTTAGTGTTTTTACTCTGGCCACGTACCACCGACAAAGCACTATCTTTTTGGCAATTCTTAATCGGAAGAATTCCTAGAATCGGCAGATCGGAGTTACTGTCGAACTGACTAAATTGTAGATGATTTTGTAAAGAATCGAACTGTCGAACTGCGCCTCACCAGAAAAAATAAATTTCCGTAATTCGCATTTATATTATGCGCCAAACATAGTAACCCCTAACTAAAGCTTTGTGCGAAGCAAAGACCTGGGAAGATCCCGTGATAAACGAGAACAGTTTAGCAGTCAGGCTCTGTGAACGTTCAACGCAATAATTGCAGTTGGCGAAACAAGTTTTAATCACACCGAAAGGCACATCGACTTTCAAATACGAGCGCTCCAGAAGTGTGTGTACCAATATGGAGTTAATTAATTTTGTCTGCCTACTTTACATCAAGTTGTGTAAAGGGAATAAAACCTATAGGCAACCTATAGTCACTTGGCCAACACAGACAGTCCCCGAACTCGTAGTAGAACTAAAATAAGGAAAATGGGAATGAAATTATGGCCTAACCTGGTACTTATACTACGGCAGTACCGAACAACAAGTTTTAATCACACGTAAAGTCATATGAAGTTACAAAAATGACAAACAACGACCACGTACATTTATCTATGCGGAAGTGACACATGTATACGGAAAACACAGGAACTCTAGTCGTTCGACTGAAATTCAGTAACTATAGACGTATATCACCAAATATTACCGGAACCAACAGAACCAAACCGATTGATTGATTTCAATAGGGTGGTTGAAGATTGGTCAGCGTCATTTGTTAAAAACAAAAATATGTGTGTCATGTCATCTATTTTTCAATTTAATGTGGCAATTGGTTCGTAAAATATCGAAAATAAAACATAGGCAGAACCTGAAAAGAGATTATCTTCATTTTTAACAACATGGAAACATCACATATTTCAGAGGTATCAGCAATGATCACGCAGAAAAACATGCCGAAAATCGACGGTAATATTGATATTCGAGAAACAATTTAACATATATTATCCCACATAGCGCAATTAACACATATTGAAATACCGCTAGCGATCAAAACTTGCCGGAGTAAACCCAAGGCAGTTTCTGTCGGATTTTTCAGGAATGGATTTTTTATGGTCTTCTTTCATTATGTACCAGGGGACATTTTTTGGTCTAGGTTTCAAAGCCATAATTATTTACTTTCGATCTTAGGAAGTGTCTGATACTTGTTTTTAGGTTTGGGAGTACAAACCTGGATTTTGCAAAAAATGCCGTTTCTTCAAAACCTTCAAAATGCTAATTAAATTAAACTGCGGTGACGTATAGTAAGTAGCCTATATCAAAACGATAGTTTTAGCTTATAGGAACTCGCTCGTTGTCTTCCATTTTCCAAGTATCCCTTTTCGTCTATTTATGCCGGTGGTTCTCAGCCTTTTTTTGACTGCGTGCCACTTATGGTGTTTTATCTCAGGCCGCATACCGCCGACAAATTCCTCTTTTTGGGGTGGAGAACAATGACACAAGTAACGCGCAATGGGAGTATTTTATAATATGGCACTACAAATATTTTTGAGCTTGCAAAGTTTTAACGTATCAATTGCGAGAGAATTTTCGTCGTCTACCGTCAGCGCTGAAAGGCTTTAATTATTCACACCACTGAATTATCGCAAATCTCGTGCGAATACTCATTGATCAGCGATCTGCAAAGAGAAGGACTGGTAGCGCTATAAACGCCGTTCAGCGACTACATGCAGCATGGAGGACAAAGAGGAAGCGTTACCGGCATAATTCAGCGGCTAAATTTAGCGGCTCCATAAAATCTCGCAAAATTAAATAGCCTAAAAATCGGCACGCGCGCTTTTCTTGATTAATATGACCATCCATATAAAACGTAATGCATATCTCCTTGTTTAAACCAGAAAACAGTATAATATTCCAGTAAGATAGGAACTTGTTGCGACCCCACAGGTGGTCACGAGACGCGCAATAAAGCCTGGGCGCAGAGATCTTTTCCAGACACAGTAGGATTTTCAGCCTGTTGCCAAGTTATCGACGACTTTGTCATTGTAATGCAAATTTGTGGCTCTGTTAAAATGGTGATTTTACTTTACAGTCCTGATTAAAAAAGAATTACTTATCACAATTGTAGATATATCCTGATAACGAATACCCATCGCCAAGTTATCGAGCAATTTTTAATTTTTGGTCGGCACATTATTTGATAGTTTTTCTCCATGTGAAATGTTTTTAAGTGTGCTTTTACTGTCTAGAAGCATATTGAGTGCCCGACATTGCATTATATTACGCAAATATATGTTATTCGTTTCTGTTCCGGCTATTTAAATTTTTTCCGGTCCGCGAGTACATTCAATTTAATTTTACCGGTCCGCCAGGGTAGAAAGGTTGGGAACCGCTGTTTAGCCAACTCAAACGTTAATTGTTGCAATACATCGAACCTGCTCGCGTACTAACTGAAAAGCTTGCGCGTACCACAGGTTGAGAACCACTGAATTCTATTCTCCCTCGGTGACAACTCGCTTCGCCTTCTACCATGTTCCTCTTTTATTCGTGAATTACTCATTCCCTAAATCGGTCTTCCTTATCTTTCTATTCTATCCAATTTTACATTTTTATATATTGTTATATTGTAATTTTAGTCGGGTTACTTTATATCCGTATCATAAATTGTAATCTACTAATCAAATAGGAATGCTACTAACAATTTTTCAGGATATCAAATTCCAATATTTTGGCAATTAAAAAACAAAATATAAATTTTTATGTTTCATGATCTATAATAAATGATTTAAACATATAGGATGTATTCTTTTCAGGAATTATTAATCGGCAGATCGGAGTTACTGCTGAACGAATTAAACTGTAGATGATTTTGTAAAGGTTCGAACTCTGCTTCACAAAGAATAAGAAAATTTCATATTTCTCATTCATAGTATGCGCCAAACGTAATAATCTCAAAATATAGTATTGTGCGAAGCAGGGTTGAAAGATCCCGTGGAAAAGGAGAAAGACTTAGCAGTCAGGCTTTATGCACGTTAAACGCAATGATTGCAGTTGGCAAAACAATAAGTTTTAATCACACCGAAAGGCATATCAACTTACAAAAATGGGCGCTTCAGTAGTGTATGTACCAATGTGGAGGTAACAAGTTTTCTTCGCCTATTTTACATCAAGTTGTATAAAGGGACGAAAGCCCATGGGCAGGGGATATATTCACTTGACTAACACAGACAGTCCCCGAACTCGTAATAAAACTAATATAAGGAAAATAGGAATAAAATTATGGCATAACCCTAACTTGGTATACATACTACGGGAGTACCCAAAAATGACAAACAACGACCCCGTACATCTTCTATACGTAAGTAACACATGTATATGGGAAATACATGAATTCTAGTCGTTCGATACAACAATTATTGACATCAAATATTGCAGGAACCAACAGTACCGAACCGATTGATTGATTTTAATATGGTGTCTAAATTGCTAGAGTTGTGAGCTACCGATGATAGATGATAAAAATTTAACCCGAGAGAGAAAGGGTATTTCAGAACAACTAAAATAGAAATGCGAGTGACCGCAAAAAGCACCATCATCGTCTTATTTGTAAATAGAATTCAATCCAATATTAAACTTTTTCAACTAGCTACAAATTATGCCTTGAATATAAAACTGTTTTTTCTTGAAACCTTGGGCAACAGAACAAAGTTTTATTTTTCTAAGGTTCTGCCAAGAAAAACACCCGGCGTTATCTATAAAAACAAAAAATATGTGCGATCTAATTTTTGAGTAAATGGGGATGTCGGTTCGTAAAATATAAAATAATGGAACATATGCTGAATCTGAAAAATGAGTGAAAAGAATGAAATGAATGAAAAATGATTTTGAAGAATGACTGAATAAGAAAACTAATCTCATTGTTAACAACGTGGAGATATCACATGTTTTAGGTACCAAATTCGGCAATGATCACACAGAAAAATACCAAAAACTACGGAATAATGCAAACCCTATTTTGGAAACTGACAGGGTAATACACCGACGAACAACATTTTTATTTCAATAACTTGCCTAGGTAATACATTTTTTGAGCACATGAACTGGAAATATGTTTTCGTTGCGAGATGCTGTCACCTACACCGATGTGTAGATTTATGCAAAGAATAAGCTGATTGTAGTACCAGAGCATTGCGGGATAAAAGTAGCCGTAGTTCTGACAATTGGATTCATTATTAGTAAAATACAGAGAAATTACAACAAAAAATTAAAAACTAAGATCATAGTCCCAATATTTATTTTTGTGTCTGAAGTATAAGTTTTTTTTCTGTTCATTTCTTTGGCGATGGTTCATTGCTGAGATTTTAGTATATGTTGCGATTTCTTATGGTTAAAATACATACTTGATGATTTTTTTCATTTAGGAATATTAATTGACGTTTCGTTGTTATGCTTCATTGTGTTTAAAACTTTGTATTCTTGTGGACCAAAATTATGTGACTATGATTTAAACATTCAAATGAACATCCCAGCAGCGAGAACATACTCGAAATTGATAAAATTATGCAATGAGCGATTTCAGAATATTACAGAATTGATTGATTTTCTGACAAGTATCCCGTTTGTTTTCCCAAATGGCAAGTCGAACATTATTATTGTTTGTTTGTTTGTTATATTTTAGCAGCCCGTTTTATTAGAAAATGAGATTGTAGTCTAAATGTTCATATTTGTGTCTGAAGTCAAAACTAATTGTAGTTCATTTCTTTGGCGATGGTTCATTGCTGAGATTTTAGTTTGTGATGTGATATCTTGTGGGTAAAATACATACTCGATGGTTATTGTTTACCAGAACCGCCAGTTTCAAATGTAAAATTCTTAGTTGACGTTTCTGTTGTCATGCTTGATTGTGTTTATAACTTTGTATTCATATTTACTGAGATTACGTGAAGTAAAGTAGACCTTCAAATGAATCTCCATGCCGCGATGATGTAGTAGGAATTGCCAGCATTATGTAATGAGCGATTTTTGGATATTGCGATATTCCAGCTAGATATTCTCGCGGTCAAAATACATATTTGCTATTTATTGTTTACTAGAACCGCCCGTTTTATATTTAAAAATATTAGTTGACGTTTCTGCTGGCATGTTTTTTTTGTGTTTATAACTTTGTACTCTTTTGTACAATGAGCGGTTTCCGATATTGCAGAATTGATTGATTATCTGACAAGTATCTCTTCAGTTTTTCTAAATTTTGAATCGTACATTGTTTGTTTATTACATTTTACGCAGTGCGATCCTGCCCGTTTTCCTGCATTTTGAATCGTCCATTCTTCGTTAATTACATTTCCGACAGAGCAAATCTACCTGTTTTTTATATTTTGAATTGTTGCACAAAGTATATGTATATTGCTGCAAAAGCCTTTTGTGACTATGTGGTCTCACAAATATGCAAACACCCTATAATTTCAATCATGGTCTAAACTTAAGTTTGTTTGATGGTAGACTACTGAAGTAGACGGCTCCTCCAACAGTCTAATGTTTAGCATGATTACAACACATTTGAAACTCCACTGGGCTTGACAATACAGGAGATTTTATATATAGTAGTAGACTGAAACTGAGTGCCACGAGGGCCAGATGAATTACTATGCCGGCTACCCAGTTCCCTTTACGCTATGTAGCTGGTAAGCAATACATAGGAACGGAAGATATTATCCAGATTCGGATTGTTAACTGCAAGATAGATTACTGTTTACCATATTGCTCATAAGGAGATCAATATAAAAGACAAAAGTTACTCACAGTGCGTGTTGGTATCATGCCCATGGGCCAAGCTGTTGTTTCCCAGCATTGAATTATTCTACAGCAGATATATCCAGAAATTCTGATGCATAGATGTTACTGATATACTACGTCGCCTCAAATTCTTATCAGACTTACTATTATATCTTATAAATCAACTATAAACATTATCAATAGTCGAGTAACATCCGCAATATATGCGCGGTAATGGCGTGGTACGAAAAAAGCAATCTTTCGTCAAGATTTTTGTGATATCACAATGTGAAAATAAATGTCTGTGCTATCCATTCGGAGTCAAAATAATTGTCTTCGGTTATCTCAAGTACAAAGTGCAGATTAAAACGGATGGAAATATCTAATTACAAATAGTTGCATTAAAATGTTATGTTTTTTTACTAGCTTCCCGCACACTTGTTTTTCAGTACTTCCATATAATGAAGTGTAAGCGAATGCATGGATTTGGTCGCAATTTCAATTTCGACCAAGGGTTTGTCGTTCGCTCCCCTAATGTCTATTTTTTTGGTATTTAGGATAAATAATATCCGCATATTTCATTAATCTCAATTTAAATAGATTTATGATGAAAATATTGCGACGCAGTCAAAGCTTGCGTGACATCACGTGAAATATTATTGAACCGGATCTCGTGACATTTGGCATTTGAGTTTGGATGAAGGGTCGATGAATTTTATTGCATTGAAGAAATGTAACGATTAGCGAATTGATCGGACAGCCGTTAAGAATTTCGTGATGTGCTAGGCGCATTTATTTGTTGTTAAGACAGGTCCAGTAAGGTGCTATATTACCGTTAGTTTCTTAAACCAGTAAACTCACAATGGCTGACAATACTCAAACAGGACCGGTTGAACCCGCAGATCTCACCGGCGGTTTCGAAAACAACTTTGTTTTGCCTGACCAAGTCCAAATGGAGCTTGGAAATTTAAATGGTGAATATCAGGCCGTAGGAGCTGTTATGGATGACGTTTTGAGCGGCCCAGAAACCCCAGAAGGTGTTGTTGAAGATTTTTCAGAAGAAAATCCAGCATATGATCATCCTGTTGAAGGTTTTCCAGATTTAATCGAAAATATTCCACAAAATTTTGATTGTGAACCCGGGCAAACAACTAATGTGGAGAATAATGGTACTCTGAATGATATCTTACCTGGTAACGAAAATGATTTTGCAGACAATACCAGTATCCATCGAATGGAAAATTTGGAGAAACCAGAAATTAGAATTGAAAATGAACCACTTGAAGCAGAGAAAAATGGTGTAGAACCGACTGAAACTTCTTCTCAACAAGAAATAGCTTCAAGTAATGAAAATGTGAATATTACATGCTTCGACAATTTAACAGAAGTGGCAAAGGACATGGAAGAATCTGAAATTTCAGTAAGTCTTGAAGGAAATGCTTTAGATGCCACAAAATCAGAACAAGCTGCAAATGGTTCAATTGAAAGCGCCGCCATTTCGAAGAGTGACTCAACTCAAATAAATTCTGAGCCTGAAAATGTGGTTCAATGGAGAAAGGATCGTGCAAAAATGATCGAAGAAATCGATTCAAGAGAATCTATCAAAAAGAAAGAATGGTCAGAGTTGGCGAAAAATCAACTTGAAATTTGGGATAAAAATTATTCTGATGTTGTGGAGAAAAATAAAGAAGCGAACAAGTCTAAAAATGAAGCATTTATGAGTTTAGACAGTGTGGAAAAGGATAAAATTGGGTACACAAGTTTGGAGGTGACATCTCCAAAAATGTCTAATGTGAAACCAGATCCATCTGTGTGGGAATATGTAGCTAAACTTTGTGATTTGAACCCAAATAATAGAAATATAAGAAGTGACGTTTCTCGAATGAGATTGCTCTTGTTACAGCTGAAGAAAGAAGGACAACAGTGTTCTGTTCCATCTCTGAAGGCATGAACTTGAAGGCATTTCTTGATATTAGTTGTCTTGAATAAATTTTTAGGTCACTTGCTGTATAGTAACTCATTTTCATGTAAGGCTAAAATTCGAGCAATCGCTAATATTTAATGTAGATTGTCTAATCGAAATTCTGGTGGAATAAGGTGATGAATATTTTCAGAGTTTTAGATTATTTTAAATAATTCGTAATATTATGGTTCTGTAACTTGTATCTAGAAATGAGCACTATAATATGAATGTTATTCATCTGCTAGGTAAATTGGAACTGCTAGTTTTTATTGACAATTCAAAACTTTTTAATGAAGTATTAATAAACATGTATTGGTATGTATAATTGCTTTCCTGTAATCCCTTATTTTAGGAACATATTCAATAATTTTATAATGTTTTAAGTTTAGTATATTATTATCCTCATACCCATGTACTGTACATGCATATTATTCTGCAATAGACCTCCGAGATTATTTATAGTTTGTGTTGTTAAAGATTAGTTATGTTCTGTTAAAAAGTTTTTTCAGTTGTATTTTTGCACCATTTAGTTCAGTCAACTTCTTTACTGCCATCAAATACAAAACAACTGTTGTACATGTATATTAGTCTACCATTTACTCTATCTATAATATACCTCAAAATTCAGTTTTATGTTTTGTTGAAGTTTTTTTTTTATTTTTATTTTTGCACCGTTTAATTCAGTCAACTACTTCACTGCCATTGAGTACACACATATATTTACATAAGCACTGTGTTCGTTTGACTTTACTTGTTATTATTGTTCTATTAAACTGCCTGTTTCTTCAGCTTGGTGCATTTTTAGGATTTGGTCTACTTTAGTACTATTTTGGATTTAATCAAGTGTAACTGGTTGGAATATTCTTATGGTAATAGCAGAGTACTGATGCTGCTATATTTTACCTCATTTTCTCCAAATTTCCCCAGTCAAGATGAGGTCAAATTGTTCTAAAGTAGACTGAACCTGTTTTTAACCTACACTGTATGTTTAAATGTGTTGAGCTTATTTATTTTTCGTTTATCAAAATAAAAAAGTGTTATGTATATTGGTTGTGGCTCTCCCTTATTAAGATCTTATTTGCAAATGAAAGTTAGCAAAAAAGTCATTTTACAATTGCGAGTTTCAGAATTGTTTTCTTAGTTCTTTGAACGATAATACAAAATAATAAAAGTACAGTAATTCAACTTGACAGATTGAGACTTATTAGTCATAGTTTTACTATGACGTTCTCTGTTCCTTGGTATACAATAACTGGTACTTCTACTTTGTAGTCTAATTTTCTAGCTAAAGTTAATGAAAGGGCATTTAATAATTGAGGGATTCAGAATTGGTTACATTGTTTTTGAAATTGCAAACATACATAAAAGAGTATGGTACCACGATAATTCATATCAAAATTTTTAGATTTCTTAGCCAGAATTGAGTTATAGTCAAGTTAAGTTCTCTGTTCCTTAGTTTCCACTCTAGTTGAACTGACCCACGATTGATTGACTCGGAGGCCACTTCACATTCCTCTAAATTATTGATTATTCGTCAATAAACTAATTTCGATAAAAGCTAATTTAGGCCCAATTCAAATCTAGGTTAAAAATCTAATCAACTAACAGATAAATCAATTCTTTCTTACAGATAAAATATAGATAATCAATATTTAATATTCAAGATGAATGTGGATCTTATGCAAATGACAAACTCTTTTGATCAGGCCAGTATATCGGCAAGTCGAGAACATGCAATGGCAATTACAAGAGACTACAATTCTCAACCAAGGCTCAGTATGGCTTAAATTTTTTTCACTTTGAAATTTTATTGTTTTGAGTGGACTAGATTGCTGAAAGTTTTTAAATTTAATTAGTTTCATTTTATTTTATTTCACAAAATATATTAATTTTAAGTCTTCACGTAAGAGAATTTGTGTGAAGTCAAATTTCCAAAATTATACACTGAAATAGTATTCTAATACTGTATACATATTCTATTTCACCAGTTCATTCTTGACTCGACTCATGGCGTTTTTTCTTCTTTAAACCGAAGATACTTTCCCTGGCGATGGCCGATGGGGCGTACAGTGCTAAGTGTTAGATATATGCACGTCACCGCACATCTGATTACCCTTGCGCAGGTTCGCAGGTTCAAATCCTGTTAGGGATAATAATGTGTGAGAGGATTGTTGGACTCTTTGCTGCCATAGGGTTGTCCACATAACTGGTTGGTTATGGCTTCCTCCACCATCGAGACCATGTATCTGAAACAAATAACTGGCAAACTAATCCCATACCCGATATGGACTGTTAACTGCACAAGAGGCTGTGGTCTGTGGATCACCATATTATTAAGCTATCTTATCTCTTTTCCTCTCCTCTGGGATAAAAATGTAAATCCTATTCTATTCAGAATTCTCTCTTGCCCCAAGTACATAGTTCATCAGAATCTATGTGACTTCTAATAGTCATTTCATTTTTTTCAGCATATCGAACTGTCTCTGGTGTCAATGGGCCATTAGTAATCTTGGAAAAAGTGAAATTCGCAAAATATGCTGAAATTGTAACCCTGACATTGGCTGATGGAAGTCAAAGAGTTGGACAAGTTTTGGAAGTCAGTGGGGATAAAGCTGTTGTGCAGGTAAACTACACCAGAAATGAGAATTCTAGTATAAAAAGGGGCAGGGATTCTGAAACTAATCATATACCCAAATAAAGGGTCCCTCGAAGTACGCGCTCACAAGTACTTCTAGTGAGCGAATATAACCAATTTTGCATGTAATATTTCTAACCCCCACCTGAGTATGTTGTTCAAAAATTACATCACTACGACCTCACAATCACGTCAATACACGCCCTTACAATCACAAGAGATTGCCAAAATATACTACGATCGTCCGAAATGGCATCTGGGCAGACTAATTAACTCACCAACGCAGGTATCATTACGATGATAAAACGAGAGAAAAAAATATTGCTCGATTTCGGATGATTGCCTGTGCGTTTTAGACGACCATCCATATACTTTGAGGGGCCTCATTTCCTCACTGTGACTTCGCAGTAACATAAATTTTGGATGACGTAGTCAGGTGGGGGTTAGGAATGACATATGCAGAAATAGTTGAGCCAGGCCAACCAGTGTGCCGGTACTCATGGGTGTGTACTTCAGGAGAACCCAAATAAATGGCAATAATGTAATGAGAGGAAAATAAATTTAAATTATCCTGCAATAACAAACTCAATTTCTATCAATTCTCAATGATTTCTGCTAATTTTGTTATTCCCCAATTTAGAGAATAGGCTATTTCATATATTGTGAATGCATTATTTTAGAATATGTCCAGAATAGTAGATTACTCGATTTTTACCATCCTTGGTGATGGGAGATTAATGGCTACTACTGGTCAGATTTTTAAATCTAACTATGTTTGGATCACAGATTAAAAATATTGGCTTCAGGCCACATGCCCACCACTTTACCTGGGGTAGGCTATTCGAACCTGAAAAAAAATCCATTCCAGAATATTCCCACTTGAATTATAAGGTTTCGATGCAGCCCATGCTTTATTAAATATCAATATTCTCTACCCAGGTATTTGAAGGGACACCAGGGATTGATGCAAAACACACAACATGTGAATTTACTGGAGATATTTTGAGAATAGCAACTTCTGAAGACATGTTAGGTTAGTCTATATTTAATCTTCTAACGCAATCCTTCTAGAAACAAGGTTTAATAAAAAGGACCTGAATTAAATATTACCTATGCAAAATTATCTCTGTTCCTAACCTGTTGTCCACCGGGAAGCCTAATATGCTCTTTACGGAGTAAGCAATTTAAATGATGATTGGGGCCATATATTCATCCCTATCCCTAACCAGCAGTCTAAATGGCAGCCTAATACGCCCTCTAAGAAAGAGGCCTCCCAAGGGGTTTAATTAATGGTCGATATAAGAATATAAAATAGATCCCGGGGTGAGGAAAATGGATAAGATGACTCATTCATAACGCGGATACTGGCCTGGCAGGTGGTTACTATTCCCGGAACGGTGTTATCTGTGTGTTCACTTGTAGAGAGAAACTTCGATGGTGTGGAGGGAGCAATAATTTGTCAATGAACAACAAGATATTATACGACTTATGAAAGATTTCACGAGGTCTCTAATTAAATGCCATATTTTTAGGTCGAATCTTCAATGGTTCAGGAAAACCTATAGATAAAGGGCCCCCTGTCCTACCAGAAGATTATCTTGATATCAATGGCCAACCTATTAATCCAGAGTCGAGAATTTACCCAGAAGAAATGATCCAAACTGGAATATCTGCAATTGATGTTATGAACAGGTATAATATTGAATGAGTAATGATTTTAAATTGTAAATGCTGGTTTTATTAAATAAAACTAAGGTAAATATTCAGATAACCTTTGTGTGTTAATAACAATTGCTTAGACCAGTGGTTCTCAAAACGATGGAGCGAGCCCCACAAGGGGGCATAGAAAATTTTTTGCGGGGATGTGAATCTACCGTATTTTCTCGAAATTCGCCTATATCGCGAATATGCCGACTCCCTAAAAACGGCCTTGAAAACGGCGATTTTATGAAAAATTGCACATAAGCCGGTCCTACGAATCGTTACACGCCGGACGCCTCAAGAAAAACGTAAAAGGGGACAAAATTACTGTAACGCAAATATTTCTCACGTTTATCGTTTCTGCATGTTAGCGAGAGCCGTAGGTGGATTATTACCCGTAACTCTTACTTGTTAATTTATGTTATTAAAGTCTATATTGCTTTTCAATGCGTCGTGATTGTGTCGGAAGTTTAAAATAGAGTTCCTGAATCAGCATAAAACAATTTCTTTTGATCGCCACAACGGCGATTCATTTCGTTCTTTGTCCGTTTCAAGGAAATAAATAACGCATTCTTATAAATTGCTACGAATCTTGAGACGCCTTAAAAAAGGCGCAGAAATAAATCAAAATTGCTGTAACACAAATATTTCTCACGTTTATCATTTCTGTTTGTTAGCGAAGGCCGTAGATTCTTACTCGAAACTCTTACTTGTAAATTCATGTTAATAAAGGGTATATTGCTTTTCATGCGTCGTGATTTGTATTAATGGAAGGGATTGTTGTCGGGAGTTTAAGAGAGTCCCTGAGTCAGCATGTAACAATTTCCTTTGATCGTCCACAACGCGGTTAATTTCGATAAGAGTCCTTATAACATATCCTAAAGATGATTAAAAGTCGCGCGTCGTTAATTGCCTCTTTGGCGATAGCGCACCAAATAATGGCGTTTTCACCATGAAACAACTTGCCGTAAATCGACACTGTTGCTGTTATGTAAAAGAAACACAAGCGAAAACAAACCACAACAAGCCATCAGCTGTATGATAAGACAATCCACCTTCACAAGCGATTGTGTGTGTGCGTGCGCACTTTTTATCGTGAGAACTTGGTATAGTTTGAAGCTTTTGGAATTACGGGCAAGTCAGCGTAATATCATCTAGTTGCGTGATCAAATTCTGATGGGCGAATGAGCCGATTTTTTGGTGCAATCTGAGTTATGCGCGAATAAGACGGTCCCTTAGTTTTTTGGAGTTTCAAACTCGGCCTATTCGCGAGCATATAGTGTAATTAAAAATAAAAATATTTGTTAGATTTGATCTGGCCCGCCTTATTTGGGATAATTACATTTTGAGCTGGGGCGCGAGACTAATTCTAAAAAGGAGAAGGGACTTAAAAAGTTTGAGGACCACTGAGTTAGATATTTCTAGAGTTTTTTTTTCAGTATATTACATGAATATATTCTAATATAAAATTGAATTCACACATATCAAAAAATGAGTTAAAGTATGGGGATACAGGAAAGATAAGATTAAACAATGTTTTGGTTGGTTCTGGATTTCTCTGTAGTCTTCATAAATTTATTGAATTCTATTTTGTTTATATTTTGAGGCAACTTTTTAAAACAACAATGAATTTCAAATTTTCAGTATGCCGTCTAATCTAATCTAAATTTGAATCGATATAAATGTTTGATTATTTTCCATTATAATAATCATTTTACACTCTCTTTCACAATAGTATTGCTCGTGGACAAAAGATTCCTATTTTTTCTGCAAATGGTCTCCCTCACAATGAGATTGCTGCTCAGATTTGTCGACAGGGAGGTCTTGTAAAATTACCAGACAAAGGCGTTCTAGATGGACATGAAGACAACTTTGCTATTGTATTTGCAGCTATGGGAGTAAGTATTATTTTATATGATCTTTTTCCACCTTTATTCTGAACAAAAGCTCTATGTTTGAAAGGACAATAATTATCTTGTTGCACCATTGCCTCTCTCAACGCCAGAATAAAACCAAACCTAGACAAGCTATCATGCGTGACAGAACTATTGTTACATCACAATGTCATCACATGTTTCTAGTTTAGGATTCTGGGGTTTGCAAAAAAAACATTTTGGCACTGCCAAGTGGGTCGTGATGATAAATGTTTAAAGCACACTGGTCTATAACATCGTTTTATGGTAAGTAAAGGCTTGGGGGCTGAGGAAAGGCAACAAGAACCACTCAGTAGTGGAGGAAATTTGATAGAGAGTGGAGTTATGTTTGGAAATGTAAGGTTTCAACATTAAGGGAGATTTTGACACTTGAGACTATTCTGTCAATACTCCTTCCCTTTCAGTCGTAGTATGTGAACATTGCTTCGATCGAACTTGCTTTGAAAAGTATTTATATTTCTAGGTAAACATGGAAACTGCCAGATTCTTCAAATCTGATTTTGAACAACATGGATCTATGGACAACGTCTGTCTGTTCTTGAATCTTGCAAACGATCCAACTATCGAGAGAATTATCACACCACGTCTTGCTTTAACGACTGCAGAATTTCTAGCTTATCAATGTGAAAAACATGTACTCGTTATTCTAACTGATATGAGCGCTTATGCAAATGCTCTCAGAGAGGTCAGTAATGTTATGTCCATTGTCAGTATGATAGTTTAAGAAAGTTTCGGAAAGTTTTATTTTTTAAGAAAACGTTTCCTGCTAGCTCAATTATAGCTGGCCAATCTGTTTTGTTAAAAACTTAATTATGTTGTATAAACATTATCATCACAAAAGCAGTGTTTTTATGTGTGTATTGAAGTGTCTTATGAAACTACAAGCTAGCGTTTTCTGCTAGCTCACTTACGGCTAGGAATAAAAAAAGTCATTATGTAATATAAACATTATTACTGCAAAATCAGAGTTGTGCATTGAAGTGTCTTATGAAGCTGCATGTTGTACATAACATAATCAATATAAAATGTATTGACAAAGAAGTTCGAAATTAGTTGACAGGTGCCAATACATCCATTGTACACTGTTTAGGCTCACATTATTAAATTGATGTCAAAATGAATCATGTTCATTCTAGAAAATGGTCTTTTTCAATTTATCAAATTTGTGTTTTAAAACATGTAATCTGTATTTATAGTGATTGCCCAGGTCAACTGAGATGCCCACTATCTTCCAGATAACATAATTAATTGAAGTTAGTGAACTAAAAAGATCTTGACCTAAATATATGGGTTTTCATATTCCATATAATTCCTTTGGAAGAGAAAGATGATAAGACAATAATAAAAGTGATAAGCTCAATCATATGGGGGAATGACCTCTTAGTTTACCAGTCATATATTTCAAATGCATGAACACCTTGATCAAAAACACTTCTTTTTCAATTCTTGCCTAGAGCCTTCTTTTGAGCAAAGATGTTTATCCAAATAATCCTAGCAATACATCTGTACAAGTCTCAACTCGCTGTTTTTTACACTTATTTATGGTGTTTACTCCAAACAAGCCCCTGTACGCCACTGATATCGAACAATAATTAGAGAACTAATATTTCCAAAATGACTTGAATCTGTCAAATATATTTATTCTTCAGGTTTCAGCCGCTCGTGAAGAAGTACCAGGTCGCCGAGGTTTCCCAGGTTACATGTACACAGATTTAGCAACAATATATGAACGAGCAGGCAGAGTTGCTGGAAGAAATGGATCCATCACACAGATTCCTATTCTAACTATGCCTAATGATGGTGAGCATAGAATTTTTTTATTCATCGCCAGGAAGAGGAAGGACTATATTATGACTTAACCATTACGGCGAACCATAACTTCTTGTCCGATTACCAGTCCATGTTGGGTACAGATTTAGTTAGCTAGTTATTTGCTCCAGATCCATAGGTTTGATATTGGAGGAAGCCTAACTGGTCAGTGAAACCGTGCAGGGTAATTGGAGGAGCATTTACAGGCATATTTATTGCTAATGCTTCTCACAATGCGCCAACTTCTAATTTTTTATCTTTCATGGTTGATTAATGATTATGCGTATAAATACAAAGACTTGGTATTCTAACGAGAGACAAATGACTTAGGTAGTTCAATGTAGAATCGGGCTTTTAGTTTAATCTGGGAAAAGCCGTTTTCAAGTCTCAGTCATATAGCAAACCACTTCCTCTCATCTGTTCCCAGTTACTCATAGTTAAATTTATTTCAGTATTTGACTCATGGACTTGGTTAAGCCTTATACCGGCTTCCCGCTATGTATTATGCTATGGAGATTAATAATTTCTTTTTCAAAAAATCCTTTTTCGACAACTTAAAAACAATATAAATATTTTTTCAGATATTACGCATCCTATTCCCGACTTGACTGGCTACATCACAGAGGGTCAGATATACATTGACAGACAACTACATAACAGACAAGTGTATCCTCCAATCAATGTACTGCCTTCACTCTCTCGTCTGATGAAATCTGCCATTGGGGAGGGAATGACAAGAAAAGATCATTCTGATGTTTCTAATCAACTGGTAAGACGTTTAAACGGTCTGGTTTTTATTTGTTCATTTTTTACTTCTATTTATGAGGTTTCTGGCCAATGTGGGCATGATGGCTTAGTACAGGGGTGGGCAATTACTTTCTTGAGTGGAGGGGTTCCAGATAATAGACTTTTTTTTTGGATGGAGGCTCAATATGAAACTATAAATGAAAACAGTTGATTTACAAAGATCTAATTAGATGTTAAGCAGATACTGAAATATCATCATGCAATCGAATAGGCTAGTGTTTGCAAGCTATAAATTTGACTGACGGCCTTAACGTCAGCCGGAATAATGTCCAACATAAATCAAACGAAGTGCATGGCAGCCGAAATTACTAACCCAGACACGTGACCGCTTATTCCATATAATTTGTGATGTAACAATGTGCTCACGTCGGTTCTTTGCGTAAATGACATTTTATATTGCCTGTGCGCCACGTTTGCATCTTTGTCTCTGCTTGAATATTTTACAATTTGTTATATTACAGTTTAGAATCCCTGACTTAGGCTGTACACCCTTCATGATGCATATGCATCAATTAGATAAATTTCAGGTGATCATCTGCGGCATGTTTTAGATGACCATCCATATAATTTGACAGGCCTTTATTGCGTTACTACGACGTCACAGTGACATGGTTGACGTAGTGGGGTGGGGGTTAGGAATGCTGTATACAAATATTGTTCAGCCACGCCAACTGTAGTAGTACATTTGTACTACACCAACCCCAGGATTCTATATCGCATATATTTAATTTGGTGCTTCCGTAGTGTGTGTACCAGGTTAGGAATAGGGCATAATTTTATTAGGATTTTCCTTAATTTAATTTTAATAAGAGTTCAGGACTGTCTGCGTTAGTCCAGTGAATATACCCCCTGTCCATAGGTTTCAGTCCCTTTACACAACTTGATGTAAAGTAGGAGAATAAAATTAGTTACCTCCATATTGGTACACACACATCTGGGGAGCGCCTTTAATTTAAATGTATTTGCATATTAGATTCAATTTAAACACCCATGTTATCCTATTATATACTTTACCATTTATTTCACAGTATGCAAACTACGCCATTGGTAAAGATGTTCAAGCAATGAAAGCAGTAGTGGGAGAAGAAGCCTTGTCACAAGATGATTTGTTGTATCTTGAATTCTTGGGCAAATTTGAAAAGAATTTTATTTCTCAAGGTAATAAATTTTGAGTGATTCTTGACAGCATTCATTTTTTAGGATATCGCGTCAGTTCTTTTAATTTCAATTCGCTTACAGTCAGAGAAGCGTAAAGGGTCCACACGACTCCACAGGCACATAAAGTTTGAGAAGCACTGTTATAGACCTGGTGTCAGTCAACTGTGTATTATTCTTTAATATTCTCTGCCATTAGAGGCGTCTCATCGCTGCTCGATATCCAATCCTGGTTCTCCGCGACTTCCCTTCCACGGTAAAAATGTGTTTTCAATTTTGTATTTTGTTAATTTCGAATGTTATTTTTTACTGAATGGAAAAACTAAACTTGACTATGACTATCATCGGATTTGCAGGTTAGGGTAGGATTCGCATATTTATCCTGGGGTAGAGGAAAGTGCCTAAAACAGCTTAATCATATGTACTATGACCCCTCGTCCGTTTGTATATGAGATTACTAATTTTTCATTTTATTTTCTAATTGAATCATCTATTTCCCTTATTTTTAGGTCCCTATGAGAACCGCAGTGTATTTGACTCTCTTGACATTGGTTGGGAATTGTTGCGAATCTTCCCGAAAGAAATGTTGAAACGTATACCACGAGATGTCCTCGCTGAGCACTATCCAAGAAAGAAAGTTCAAGCACCTACTGCCGGTGCAACTGGAGGAGCAAGCAGCAGCAAATAATGATTTACACTGACTTCATAAAACAGGCATTTCAGCAAAGAATTATTTTGGGTCATTGGTTTTCAGGCTCTAAGGGGGGTTGTGGATTTATGCGAGAAAATGGGGGTGGGGCTTGTGAAATTTTGAGGTTACAAATTTGGATATTTGTTTACTCCGAATAGTTGAGCCTTGAATTGGCTTTCTTGGGGGTAGATGTAGGGAGAGGGGTTGTAAAATGAAATTAGACATTCTAATAGAAGAATAGAATAGAACTCTTATGAAACTTCACCACTGCTTGTTCTGTCCGTTTAGGAAATTCTGAATCTCAAGGTATAATTTTAATTCATATTCTGACTTTTGAAATGTGTCTACTCAAATTTTGGCACCTTCAAAGTGTGTAAGAATAGAAATACCTCCCGAAGTATGTGCACCAAGATGGCGCACAACCTGAACATTGTATGTGTACCAGGTTAGGGTTCAGGTTGTGTGCTATCGTGGTGAACTTATATCGGGAGCGCCGAATACAATATGCCTCTGCAACTTATCTTTCTCAACAATCTAAAGCTTACTTTCCATTAGGAACACCCAATGTTAATCTAGCTAATGTTAATATGATTGGACCCCTGTCCCTAGCCCAATTCAAGCATTAAAAAAGGAAAGACAGCATTGGTACTTGGTATTGTTCCCACTAGTTTTGGAGTCCGAATTGTACCCCAGCCAGATTCAGAACATGCCAGTCTAATTATCCACGACCCTGCCAACATATGAACAACACTCTGTGGACAGGTGTCTGTCTCAATATACATGTTGTATTTATCCAATATTGCTGTTTTCATTTGCTGAAATGTCCTGATACTCTTGTGTGCTCCATAGTTCAATGAAGAAATTATATTTATATTCCTATTTTTATTATTCCTGTGTATAAATTATGTTTTTGTCTTGATTATCTGAGAACCTCTACATTTCGTTTGCATATTCTTGTGTTTTGTTTCAATCCTAATCGCTACTTTTTCTAGCATAATATGAAATCTGGAGGAGAATTCTACCAATATAGGCCCTGGACGTTGAAATACTATGTAGGCCACTGGTTCATAACAAGTGGGCCATGGCCCACTTCTGGGCGCTTCAGAAGTGTGTGTACTAATATGGAGCTACCGGTAACTAATTTTGTTTGCCTATTTTACATCAAGTTCCGTAATGGGACTGTAACTTAGGGAGGGAGTATATTCACTGAGCTAGTACAGACTTTCCCTGAACTTGTAATAGAACTAAAATAAGGAAAATCTGAATAAAATTTTGGCCTAGCCTTAACTTTGTACACATACTATGAGAGTGTCCACTTCTAAACCACAGAAACATATTCAGGTGGATCACAAACATAGTAAATTCGCTGCTATAGTTATTGATAATTGGTTAAACTTTGAATGATGTTGCTGTTTTTGCTACTGAGTGGTGATCCCGATTTAAATTGTTAAAGTGGAAGTGTTTATCTTTACAAAATGAAGTAGTCCTGTAGTTCTTCCCTTTTCTAATAAAGGGCCACTAAAAAAAAGGTTGAGAACCACTGGTATAGGCATTCAATCTGATATTTGGTCTCGTTTTTTTGCCTTGAATAAAAAGGGATTACTGGGGATATACTCAATAGTCCGAAATATTTATAGGAAGAATTCACAATTTCAGAAGCTTGGTGTGATATATTTTGTTGAACTTTTATTCAAAATTACAATGATCTAGGAAAAAAGATTGGAACGTTTAAAAATAAGATCATGATTTATTCAAATATTCCAAATTTTATATAAGCATCAGATCTCTGTCTTGGTACCAACGATCATGCAAGCTGTGGTGATTAATATGTTGCAGGATCGTTCTAGAAAATAAAAATGTTGATTTTTTCAAAAAATTAAAATTTTTTTTTAAATTCTTGAAGTGGACACTATCTTTTGATTTGAAATCCAGCTAAAGCTGAATAATCAAGTCATAACTCCTTAAGTGCTACTTGCTTAGCTTACATACAGGGTGGTTGTTAGAAAAGGAGAAAATTTATCAAACAGCTATTTTTTTTACAAAGAATAACTTTTACAAAGTTTTTTTTAAAGGCATATGTTATATTACACTCATAGATGCTCAAATTGTCGTCCGTGCACTTCAGAGCAGTTTCCTAACCTAGTGGAATCTAAAAGAAATGAAAACGTATCGAAAAAGCAACGAGTAAGCACCCATTTTATTCATGATCTCATCTGACTTCGATGTTTCTACTTTTTTCAGCGACCACCCTGATTTCCCATATATCATTGAATTCCGCAAAACAGACACATTTGATTACCCAAGATTAAAATTAACTGTAACATACAGATTTATAACGATTCGTCTTTGGGAAATAATACCACTGATATTTTTGACCTATTTCATACTTTGTTAAAGTGGCATATTTTACCTTGAACGATGTTTATAAGGTTGTTAACTAGTTATTTCACGTCTGTCTCATATATTTAGAAATCGGTGAGTGGATATTCTGATGTTGTAATTTGTCCATGTGCCTTCGAAATGTGGTATTATATATGTTACTTTTAATATTTCAACTCTTTGTGCAGGAACAATAGATGTGCCGATTCCATATTCTTCTTAGATTTCAATTCCTAAATATTCTAATCCATAAACATATGGCCACCTGACAAAATTGTCTTCTGGATACCTAAATGGGCAGTCCAGAAGTGTGTGTACCAATATGGAGGTAACTAATTTTGTTGGCCTGCTTTACATCAAGTTGGGTAAAGGGACTGAAATCTATGCGCAGGGGGGTATATTGACTGGGCTAACACAGACAGTCCCCGAACTCGTAATAGAACTAAAATAAGGAAAATCTGAATAAAATTATGGCCCAAGCCTAACCTGGTACACACATTACGGGACTACCTCTGAATTATCATATGTTGTCATGTTTTGTCCTGATTCCTATCATAGTTAAATATCATCACAAATTTGTGCAATACATACCAGTGTGTGCGAACTCTAACAGTGATCTGACATAGGATAGGATTCACCTATTTATCCCGGGGGAGGGGAAAGCCAATAAAACAGTTCGATCATATGGCCTTAACCAGTCCATGTCAGTTATTTGTTTTGGAAGCATGGTCTTGATGGTCGAGGAAGCGGTGAGACATTTACAGGTAAATGCCCAGGGATGGGCAAGGTTTTTGAACCACTGGCCAAAAATTCTGCCCATCTAAACTGGACAGAATTTAATTTACAGTGTTACAAAAGCAAAATTGGAACACAATAAGCTTTGTGTCAAAACTAAATTTAATCGCAATCTCAACGAATCCCTTGAGATATTTTCAACTGAAACGTCAAAATTTGGTTTTAGTTTGACTTGGTTGTGGCGGCACCAGGCGTGCCAGATTGAAATACCCGACGGTTCAGATTTGGCCAATGGGCCGTAGTTTGCCCATGTCAGGGTGAATCTCTGCATTATGCATTAACTTGAGATCCGTAACTTGAAGGTCGGTAAATTGAGCTTTCGGCTGGAATGAAAATTTTAACGGTACCGGTACAGACCTGAAGAAATATAGGATTAGTGCGGCCGCCTAATTTTAAATAGAACAATACAGGAAAATGTTTGCTGTTTATTATGATTGAGTCTGGGCAATTTCGAATACCTGATGATTTTAAAATCGAATAAAAAAAATTTTTTCAAATCGTATTTCGAATACTTGGAAGATACTAAATTATATGCGAATTTTTTATTGCGATGGGTCCTCTATAGGCACAAAAATTACTGAAAACATATCACTCGGAAAGTTTGCAGAGTCTCCACACGCAGTAAGAAACATGTATCAATACCTCGTTGAAAAGAAAAGGTCATAATGTCGGAATTGACTTCCACTTTCGGTGGCAACGATTGATATTTTCGTGAACCGATTCGAATAATTTACTATTCGATTCGAAATGCCCAGCCCTAATTATGACATCTCGAACCCCAGAATCGGGTCCGAGCGTCAATGTTTACGAGAAGTCAGAACTTGCCACTAAAACCCAAAAAGTAGTATTTCAGTTAGCGTTCTAAACAGTAAATCGGAAGAGCGCTTACATGTGCCAAAGTTTTTGTTATCACAATTTGATTTTTTTGTAGCTGGAGTGTTTTTTTCCAATCCGGAGTGTTTTTTCCAATCAGGAGTCGAATCAAAGCCTTGGATATTCCAATCGTAGTTACGTACGGTAACGCTTCCCTTCTTATAAACTCGCGCACTTCATCCTATCTGGAGTTTGAATGGGACTGAACTTATAGCTCTATAGCGGCGGTTATCAAAACTTTTTAAGCCGCGCCCCCTTTTTAGTTTTGTCACTTTTCGCTCCCCACCTCAAAAAGAACTAATTAACAATTAACAGATATTAAGCCGAAAGTATTCATAAATCAAGTTGAAAATACCTGGATGGAACGAAAATATCCAAAATAAAGAAACAATCAAAATAAGGCGGAAAAGATCAAATCTAACAAATATTTGTGTTTTTAATCAGCTTCACGCCCCCTCAAAAATTGTCCACGCCCCACTGTTTGGAAACCACTGCTCTATAGCAACGCCTGGGCGAACTTGATTTAAAACAACTTGATCGTCATAATTACTAAGGTCTGCAGCGTGCGTTGAGCTTCACCTAAATCTAATACATAATTTCCGAAACGCCAAATAGAACGCTAATCGCAGTTTCGGTGCTGTACTTCACCCATTTGCCGAACCTCAATAACTCAATCGACATGTGGTCTACTCAAAATTAATTATTATTATACGCATATTGAACTTAAACATAGATGAAGTTTTATGAAATTGCCAAAACGTTCAAATTTGCAATGATACGAAAAATTGTTAGTAACATTTGCATGTAATTAGTAAACAACAATTTGTCATTGAAATTTATCGTAGGCTGATAAGAAAACAAAAAAAAAATGAAGAATTGGATAGATAAGAAAGAGAAAATAAGAGCGATTGAGAATCGGGAGAGGTGATTCCCAAATAAAAAAGAAGAACCAGACGAGAGAGAGAGTATGATACCGAGAGGAAGAGAGAGTTTGAAAAAAAGAATGGAAAAACGAAAGAATTTCTAAAGTGAAACTATATTTTCGATATAATGTACATCCCCACAGTAGAACCAAATTGGCTTAGCCACATCTTTAATGCTTTGGAAAAAAATGCATTTTTTGTGAATTTAATATTTATACACCCAGGACCAAAAATGGGGATATTTCAATATCTAAATCTGAATTTAAAACTAACAAGTATCCGACATAAGCCACTTTGTCTCTACCTCGGCGACATTCTTGAAGATTCGAATGCCGGCGTATTTCAATTTGTAATAATTGCTGTACATGTGATAATATATACGGTATGTGCTAAATTGTTCTTTCTGATATCAATGTCATTGCGGGCCACCAAAAATGTATAGCTTACGACGAAGAGTAGAAGTGAATTCACTCATTGCCTTAGCTCCAAGGATACTTGTGTCAGTAGAATTTTTTACCATCTCCTCCGCCATTTTATCGTTGACCATCGTGAGCATGTCGACCACATGCATTCTGCGAGCGTTTTCCTGAAAGACTTCGATTATTGCTTGTATGAACCAGCTTCCGTGATTTTCTGAAACATATGAGCGTGTTTCCTTTTGTGATGCGTAGGTAACCAGAGTGTCACACACTTGAGGTAACTTAAGCGGAGGTTTTTTCTGTACGTATGCTGCCTGGGTATTCTCCTCACCCTGATCAGAAATTCCTCCTCTGCATATTTGGAAAAAGAACAACTTCGGTATATGCTGTAAGTTTCGATTTTCGTTGTTGAAACGTTTTAGGATCTCAGATACGCTGATGGTTTTCTTGTCTGCTCCGACTATAAGATCTTCTTTTTCTCCATGAGACAACACAAAAACGGCGACAAAGGATTCGTTGCCAGTACAAGTGTCGGTCGCAAATTTCAAAACAATAAGATCCATAGACTCGGCACTTAAATTTTTCTGTACTGTTACATTACACCCAAATTCTTCCCACATATTCTCCAACATTTTGACATCCTCTTTGTAGCCTATGAGATCCTTATCTGCAAAGTTGCAAATAATCAGAACCTGTGATTTGTTGCTGCCTCGTTGGTACAAGCCCGAGGCGTTTGAGCCATTTGCTTGAGAATTTTCCGTTTCATTCGTTCCTCCTTCGGTTTCCCCAACGGTTTCCACCGTACCCCGATCAGTTTCTGTTTCGGAAACAGTTCCATCGTTTGTTGAATCGGATTCTCCTTTTTGATTGAAATTTATTTGTCCTATTGTTGAGCCTACGATGCTTACCGCGGTATGTGACACATTCATATTTTAATCTCTACATATATATATGTAAAAATTTTATATATATATTGTAATTTTTAAGACATATTTTTTTACTATAGAATAATTCATTCACCACGTGGTCAGCCTTCCCTACACATATCCTTTTGATATTATCAGTAATTCGAAAAAACCCAACCAGTCACTCTGATGTGTTGTACTCTCATGTGATTCTTAATAATGTTGTGAAAATTTTATTAGACTGGTTGGCGCCGCCCAATTAAACTCCTAAACATTCATAAAACCTAATTTTGAGGTTGCTTATGATATATTAAATACAAATTATATTATATACACTAGAGTCTTTTCACGACATCCCCCCCAAAAAACCATTTTTATCCCCGGGTAACTAAACTGGAGCGAGAGGAATTTTAATAGATTCGAAAGTCCTACCACAGTCGAAGTCGAACCAATATGGTACTCTATATGCTGACTTTTTAAACCCCACGAAAATTAAAGTTCAAATTTCAGATGCCTTATGTGTCGCCTGAGATTTTCGACCTAACTCTCAAACTAAATAGGCTGTGTTTGTCTACTCGATTACTTCCCCATACTAGTCTCAGTCATCTCGTCATATACTCGAGGACTGATTGATTATCCAACCGTGTTAAAATCGAAATAAATCTTGATTCATCACAAGGACACCCTCTATGTATAGTGAAAAGGGTTTCATTGTTTCTTCACGGTTTTGTCATTGTATAGGCGTTACCCGATACGACCTCGATATCTCACCTTATCTCAATCGACCATTTGCTTGATTATGGGTTTTGAGTGATAGGATTCCTAATTAGGTTGGGCGCATCATGCTAAGCGTTAGAAAGTGCACTTTAATGCTTATCAACTTTTTTGGGCTTTGTTGTTTCCAAAACGAGAATTCAGAATAGGCTTGCTTGTAATTGATTGCAGGATGATCTTCATTCATGCAAGGTTTCAAGTATTCTTGAAATATTCAAGAATACATGGAACTTTACTACTTTGACTTCATAAAAGAATGAATAGCTGAATAATACCAATTTACTAATCAACACTGAAAGACTCTAACTACAATTACAGTAAAAACAATATTTATTTACCAATACTAATTGAAAACTCCGGTCATTAAACCACCAAATGATTTCTTTTGAGGTAAAGGATAAGATTATGCAGATTTCCACCCATTCCTCGTATCCACAGTTCATTGAAGCCCTGCACATTAGTAAAACTCATTTTTTGACAGAGAACCACACTAGAAACAAAATCGATTTACTTTTTATTATTAAATCTTACCGTTCACTGTAAAGTCACAGGCAACTTCAAGGCCTAAATAAGGCTAAATTGTGAAATTGTGCATTTTGTTTTTCTTTCTAAATCCTTCATATATATATGGCTTCCCTAGATTTTTCATTGCATAACACACTCCTGATTTCAGTCAGGGAAATGTATATATTCCACTGTAGTTGGATTCCATTATTCTCGATTGACTCCGAGCACGGTTGGATTTCTGCTGTATTGGTAAGCCCATGGCTCTTGGGCGACTGTGCATTACACGGATTCTTCTGAAGTTGTGATAAAATGGGCGAGAACACTTATTGTCGTAAATTTACCGTAGTATATCAATAATCTTGTATCAAACGTTTAGAAATAAGATTCTAAATTAGATTCTAAAGCATAACGGAAAAGGCAAATTAGAAAATTTGATTGTATCACATGGTTTTACAAGGTTTGCAAATTGTTTTATATTGTATAGTAGGGGTGGGCAAAGTTTTTGGACCAGGGGCCAACAACTTTGCCCAGCTAGGCTGGCGAGCCATGCAAGTATAACGTAAAAAGGTACATTTTATTAACAATATTTACAGTGTTGTAAAAGAAAAAGTGGAAAACAATAAGCGTAGCCGCTCAGATACTTCGTTCGATAAGAGCTTGGCTCGCTAAGCATGGAATAAACATTGCCTCGTTTTTCGATTTTATGAATACGATTATCGTAGAAACTCTATCTACGAAAGGCTCTGGATACAAAAAATCCAACTTACGAAAATTCTTTCCGTAAAAATATTGCTTCGACTAACGTAAAATTCTACACACGAATAGCCGAAAACTTAAAAAACGCGTGTAGCGATAATTGTTTATTTTAGGTTAATTTAATGCAATGCTTGAAGCAGGAATGTCCAATTCGAATATCGCTTTTCGTGTTTATAAGAATACAGAACATGGCGCACATATCATAGCGGCCGAGGTTATTAGGTTGTCTTTAGCGTGATTGTATTTGGGCATGGGCCTTCTCTATTATGGTATTTGAGCCTCACTTGAAAAACATTGCCGACCACTGCCTTAGAACTTTGCATTTAAAAGCAAAAAATAAATCTCAAGTTGTGAACCGGCAACGTAAGCTGCTTTCCTACGTAAGCATGTTGAGAACAAAAGAAACTTGAAAAGGGGATACTCCCGTAGTATGTGTACCAGTTTATAGTTATGCTTCGATTTTCCTTCCTTTATTTCTATTACGAGTTTGGGCACTGTCTGTGTTAGACTAGTGTTGTGAAAATCAGATATCAAACGCTGATTGGGGTATCTTAGTGTACAAACTTTCATTTATGACTAAACACTGTTGTTCCATTACCGTGCAGATATTTTCTGTGGAAATGCGTATAATTGCTAAGTTGGTTTCACGTCCTTTGACCCTCCAATTGTGAGGAGTCACCGACAGCCTACCAACACATCTCTGCTGCCCACTGGCGGCACTGTAGTTCTCAATGTCCCAATACTATACTACAGGGGTGTGCAACCTTTTTCGCAGGCGGGCCAAATATCAATAACCGGGTGAAACCGCGGGCCGCACCTACATTTAACACAGCTTTCAAATTCAGCTTTTTATTAGCTGCAGGCACAAAATGATGTCTTTTTGTTATTAATCTCATGTCATCATTAGGGGTCCTTGCAGAACTGATGAGTTAAAACGCCTAAATTGTTAGCTTTTGTATCTTTTATTAATATTTTTTTTTAAAACTGCTCTCCAGTTGCCTCCGCGGGCCGCACAATTTTTCCTTACGGGCCGCATTTGGCCCGCGGGCCGCACTTTGCACACCCCTGCATACTACATTTCCGAATGCGTGCCTCAGACTCGAAATATCTTACAATACGCCATTTGTTTACCATACAAATAAATATAAAAGTTAGTTGTTCGCGCTGCATTTTAGTGTATTTTTTCATTTTCATTCCAGTGTGTGCCAGAACATTGAATCATGTTATTCATTCACAGTTAATCCCTTTCTGTTCCATTTATTTCAATAGTTTGTAATATTTTTTTTATTTTGTCCGTTCGCGGGATTAGAAAAATTTAATATCACTGGCTAAAGAAACGTGTAAAATCGTCACACAAGGTTTCCCATAAATTAACAGACGATATACATGCTTATTTATTTCTAATTTAATATATATACTATATTTTCGAAATGATTGCTAGATGCAGAATCGCGGATAGTTGATGATTTTAAGAAAATTGGGGGAGGGGGGTTTGGGACCTACTGCTTCACTTGAATTTAGTACGTAACTTTCGAAACGACAAATGTTACGCAAGTACCCATTTGCTGCAATTGTCTAACGTCCAATACCACCTGAATATCACTTAATATCCTAATCGATATATGATATAGTTTAATAGAACTTTTGGACTATCATCTACCTATTAGAATTCATGCCTTCTATATTATAATCATAAAAATCATTTATTATATCGCCGGATGTGAACAGAAGGGGGCTGAGTCACATTTTTTAAAATTTCACTTTTTTCAATATTTCGGGGTTTCGAGTCGTGCTCTACAAGAAGGTGGTCTTGACATCCTGAATTTCTCAATAATAAAAATTTTAGCTGGACTTGGGGCTATAATATTATGTAGAAGTTAAGAACAGAATAGGCCTAAGTTCGAATATAATGGACATCAGAAATAAAATGTCCCAAACTTACATCCCTAAGAATTTGTTCAGTGCAACTTAGGCCTAAGTCACCTTGTTTTACCTTGCATCCCATGCAAAAAAATTCAAAAGTTGTTGAAAACAGAATGGGCCAAAGTCTTTTATGGGGGATAAAAAACCAGAAAGTAAGTGCTAAAAAATATTGATTACAAATATATTCTCATCCACATTAAAATAACCCTCAGGTCTTTACTAAGAGTGAATATATAGAAATCCAAAATTGTTTTTTTTGCGTTTTTCTCAAAATTCAAATTGTGACTTAGGCATGTCTGTTCCCATCTGGCGATATACACATTTAACTTTAACGGGGATGGAGTTTCGTGAAATTACCAAAATGTTTGAGTTTAAAAAGCGGTCGAGAGAATGAGGAGAAATAAAATAGAAGAGAACAGAATACTCGAAGCGGACGAGAGAGAATAAAACGAACGAGAGAGAGAGAAGGATCGAATTTGACGAAAAAAAGACAAACGAGAGAATTATTAAAGCTACAGGTTCCATATTCTGTCCTAATGCTGTGGCTGCGATGTTCACCGTGATGTGTGACATATTGATATTTAATGAAATCTCGAATATGTAAAAATTTTATATATTGTAATTTTTTAGACATATTTTCTTACTATAGAATAATTCATTCACCACGTGTCCAGCCTCCCATAACTAAATCCTTTTAATATTAATAGGTATTCTAAAACCCCAACCGGTGACCGTATGTGTTGTACCTGACCCACTGTGGAATTCTAAAATTATAGAAGTGATTGGTTGGCGCTAACATACAAAATAGATTTTCGAAGATATTGGATATATTTAATTTATAAATCACATGAGCTGTATCTCCAGGTTTGGCACGACTTTGAATAAAAGTTGTGGGGTCCACGTCGAAAAAAGAATGGGAAATTCGTTTTACGGACAACCTGCATTTACATAGAGTCAACGATGTTGTCGTATAGAACCATTTTGATATCATAATCATGCTTTCACCATTTTACTTTTGTTTTGATTTACGTCTACAACAAAACTACATTACTTTGTATGCCGAATTGTATCAACGTTCAAAGACATAAAACGAGGTTAAATATGGCACGCGTATTGTTTTGTTTGTTTGTAAGATGCAATCATACGTGTCTGAATAATTTCAAAAATGCACTTTTGTCCTGTACGTACAACTGTACTTTTTCCAGTAAGATTTTTCCCCCGTAATTGCTGCAATAATTATTTCTTAAGTAAATACTTCATTGAACATACATATTGAAGTTTAAGACAAACAAACACACGATATATATATATATACTAGAACCCCATTTGAGTACTGGGCTCCGGGCAATCCGTATGCGCGTTCCTAACGCTTAGGATGATGATGCGGCCGTATTCAAGAATCCTGGCCGACAATTGCGTATAAAAAATATAAAATAATTTGCCTTATTGACAAAAAATATTAATTTGCATTCCAATTTGCATGGAAATATTCTCGTTCACATTGTGTATTACTTTATAATGCTTTATAACGTAATGAATAATCAGTCCTAAAGTATAATATGACACACTGAAACTTGCGGAGGTCATTATTGGAGTGATTCATATCTTACTCATATTGCCTCAAATGATCGTTTCGTTTAATTTGTACACCTGAATAGTCGAGCGCTGGCCCAGCGGTTAAACTGCAGTGGTTCCTGAACTTTTAATATCGTTACCACTAAATCCCATTAGCAAAAGCTCAATTACCCCTTTCATAAAGATGCAGTAGCCTTTTCTATATTACATTTTCTTTGACCAGGAATGGCGATAACACTAGCAACTAATGCATTATCCGATCCAACTTTAAGATGCTAGCTCCGTCTAGCTCAGCATTTCGGCCTAGAATTGGAATCTTTTCGACAAAATATTGTAATTATGTTCCTACAGAGTGCGCGACCAGGCGACTAGGCTCATTGACCAGATGCGATCATTGAATGTCCAGATTTTGAGAAGTCTGGTCAAAAGTATCGGGATTACAAATAAAATTGTTAAAACATCAAGGTCTGGATTACCCACAAGGCTTGCCTAATAACTCATTAAATAAAGTTTGGAAACCATTGGATTTAAGCGAACATTTGATTGTTTGGCATAGCAGATTATACATCTCAGATTAAAATTGCGTGCCCCATTTTACTCAGGGTGTAATAATTTGGAAGGCAAATTCTCCGGTCCTTCCCAATGAAAGAATCTCTCGACATATCGCGAAATATCAGTTGAGCGCTTGTATAACGTCTTTTCGAAGCGAAAATGCCAATCAAAAAGAGCCATTCTGTTTGAGAAATACTTGGATTTATTTTGTGCGACGGTCGGCGCTCCCGTAGTATGTGAACCAAGATGGCCGACGCCGGAACGTAGTATATGTACCAGGTTAGGGTTAGGACATAATTTTATTTCAATTTTCCCTATTTTAGTTCTATTACGAGTTCGAAGCTTTTTGTTGAAATGGATTGTGCAAACAAGAAATGAGATGGTATATCCAAATTATTCATGCCTTAATATTCAGTCTATATATTTACGCCAACTATGCTTATGCTAACATTATCCTTACTTGGTTTGTTTGATCATGCAACGCGTTTAAAATTGACTTATTATTGTTAAATTTGAATTAAATTCATAGGATACTCTGCGTGGCGGAAGTATAATGACGTACTACGGAGGTGGCAGGCACAACAATAAGTAAGTCTAAAGTTCTTATTTCATTCTTAGATATAGGCCTTAGTTGCAATTATAAATCATAATAGCTCAACGAGAGCGTTTGACGGTTGTCAGATAGAAACATATTCAGCAGATAAAATTTCAAGATTGCGATTTTTGGAAATTTACAAAAAAACCTATGAATCGTTTTTATGGCGTGAGGTTTTGATAAGGCATGCTACGTCTTCCCTTTAAACAAGAATTCAGCACGGTCTAGCAAATATAATTTGTTATACTTGTTGAAGTTATCAAAATTCCTCAGCTTTTGTTTAGCTAATAGAGGACAAGTTGATAGGAAATGTCTCATTTATATATATGGAGAAAGTCTGTTTTATGTTGGCGATAACCAATCACGTCAAGTACAACACATAAGGATTACCGGTTTGGGTTTCAGAATAACTGATAATATTAAAAGGATATAAGTAGGGAAGACTGGCCACGTGTTTAATGTATTTTTTTATGGTAAGAATCAATATGTCTTAAAAATTACAATATATAAAAATTTTACATATATGCAGAGATTTAATTAAATATCAATATGTCACACAACAAGGTAAACATCGCAGCCTCAACAATTAAACAAATACATATCCATCAAAACAGAGAATCCGATTCGACTAAAGAGGAAAATGTTTCCAGAACAGAAACTGATCAGATTGCAACAGAAAATGACACGAAAATCGAGAGTGATCAGGTTGAAACAGGAAATTTACAGCCAATTAGTCCGAACACCCCGGGCTTGTACCAACGAGGCAGCAAAAAATCACAGGTTTTGATAATTGGCAATTTTGCAGATAAGGATCTCACAGGTTACAAAAAAGATGTAAAAATGTTGAAAAAAATGTGGAAAGAATTCGGGTGTGATGTAATAGTTACGATTAACTACAAATACCAGATAGTAAAGCCGAAAGTATTCATAAAACACGTTGAAAATACCTGGATGAAACAAAAATATTCAAAATAAAGAAATATCCAAAATAAGGCGGAAAAGATCAAATCTAACAAATATTTGTGTTTTTAATCAGCTTCACGCCCCCTCAAAAAATGTCCTTGCCCCACTGTTTGGAAACCACTGGTCTATAGCAACGCCCGAGTGATGGAATCAATTTGATCGTTATAATTACTATAGTCTCTTGCGTGCGTTGAGCTAATACATAACTTCCAAAACGCCAAATAGAACCTGTGTCGCTACGGTGCTGTGCTTTACCCATTTGCCAAATATCAAAGCCAATACAAAGAACTCAATCGACATATGGTCTGTTCTAAATCATTTATTATTATATGCATACTGAACTCAAACATGGATCCAGTTTTATGAAATTACCAAAACGTTTAAATTTACAATGCCATGAAAATTTGTTAGTAACATTTACATGCAATTTGTAGGCAAAAATTTATTATAGAAATTTATCATGGGCTGATAAAAACACGAGAGAAAAAATGAAGATTGGATAGATAAGAAAGGGAGAAGGAGAGCGATCGAGAATTAGAAAAGTGATTCTCAAATAAAAGAACTAGAAGGTGATGACAACGTCGCCGAGAGTAAAATAAACGAGAGAAAGAGAGAGAACGACCGAGTTTGACTAAAAATGAGAAAACGAAAGATTTCTAAAGTGAATATACTATAGTTTGATATACTGTACATTCTCAGAGTAGAATCAATTTTTATTTTAATATGTGATAATTGCTTTATTGGGGTTAAAGAAATATATGATACTTGAATAGATATGCTAAATTGTTTTTTGAATATCAATATTACTATTGGCCACCCAAAATGTAGACATCATCACGTAGAGTTGACGTGAATTCACTCATTGCTTTAGCGCCATTAATATCTTGGTCGTTATCATGTCTGGCTGTTTCCTCTGCCATTATTTTGTTGACCATCGTGAGCATGTCGACCACATGCTTTCTTTCATGGTTTTCCCTGAACACTTCAATAAGCGCCTGTATGAACCAGCTTCCCGTTTCTTCCACAAATGCGATTGTTCCTTGTTGTGCCGGGTAAGTAACGAGTGTATCACACACTAGCGGAATCCTAGGCGGACGCTCCCTCTGTGCGGCAACCTGGGTGTTTCTCACACCTCGATCACGCCGACCTCCTCTGCACATCTGGAAGAAGAACAACTTCGGTATGTTTTGTAATTGAACATTTTTGTTGTTGAATCGGTCAATAATCTCAGATACGTGGATAATGTTTTGGTCCACTCCAAGAATATAATCATTTTCTACACCATGTGACAATACGAAAACGGCGATGAAGGTTTCTATGCCAGTGCAAGTTTCATTAGCGAAATTCCTAACAGCTCTTCTCATACCTTCCGCACTTGAATTTCTCTTCACTTTTACTTCACATCCAAAATTTTCCCACATTTCTCTCAACATTCTCACGTCCCTTCTGTATCCCAGAAGTTCATGTTCAAAATTGCAAATGATCAGAACATGTGATTTTTTGTCGCCTGAACTCGAGGAATTGAATTCAGCCGCTCTCACTAGCCTCTGACCAGTTCCTTCTCGATCGGTAGGGTTACCGATGTTAATATTTTTTATTTTGCTTGCTGCGATGTTTACTGCATAACCTGCCATATTGATATTCAAATTTCTGCATAAAGGGAGAAATTATAAATTATAATTAATCGCGTACAAGAGTGCGCATATTATCTGGTTTATATCTCATAGTGTTCTCACATTCAAATTGATTCACAATATATTTGATGCCATTAGACTATAGTACTGTTAATATTTATTAACCCCTTATTCGTGTTGACTTGCTGAAACCATCTTGCTTGCGCCATAAGCAGAAGTACAAACCCAAACCTGAGAATCACCGTACAATGGAACGCAGGAGGATGTTAGCTGTTTTTGTGTGTTCTGTGAGAAATCCTTTGTTTCATATTCGTATATTGACGTAGTATCTGATATTGATGTGCTTGTAATATTTGCGTTCATTGTTTGATATCAGATACTTAAAGTTTCAATGAAAGGGTTTTTATGATTTTTATAGCCGTAAATAAAAGTCGGTGGGATATTAATGTTTGCGATTTTAAAAGTGTCGGGGATTTCAAATTTTTCTGCGATCTTGTTTGGTTTGTTCATTATGCGATTGCGCCACAATGGTGCCATGCTAGATCAAACTCTTGTCACTGAATCAGTGAAATATTAGATTCCGACTAATATTCTGTCTCCATGCGTTTGTGAGTCGCGTATACGATATTGTCATTGAGTATTCGAAAATGCATTTTTCAAAAAGCAATTATTTTTCCCATTTTCTTGCATCAACACAACAGAGTTTGTTACAGTTAAGTTAGTTAAAACATAAATCCACCTCATTTTCTCCCAATAATCTTCCAGATTCAACTGTTTCTCAAATCTTCAAAATACACAAATTGACTCAGAGTTTATGGGGTGCTCTCAAACTGTCGTCAAAAGGACAATTCTTTGGACAGGCAATTTCACTGATATTGGGTATTGTGTCAAATTAGTTACATCATGGATGAGAGGGTGGGCTTGAATTCACTGTCCAACTGAGAAGGATTTGGAATTGAGCAACCATATTTTTTTTTATCTCTATACTGCTTAAAATTCGAGATACAATTTCAGTTTTATCATTTTTTTTTCTCCATCATGTCGCTTTAGGGTTTTCCTGTGCTAGTATCAAACAAGCTGTCTTGGCCTTCTGATTGAAAAAACACATTAAGGGTTGATCTTACTTACCACTTCCCTTTGTTCCTATACACCACCTCTTTCTTCTCGATAGCATGCAACCATTACATCCAACCATTACAAATTGACCCAGAGTTTATTGGGTGCTTTCACACTGTCTTCAAAAGTACCATTCTCTAGAATGGCACTTGCTTTGATATTGAGTGTTGTGTTTCAAATTAGTTACAACATGTATGAGAAAATAGGCTTTACTTCAGGGAGAGGGGTTTGGAACTGAGCAGCCGAACTTTTGCTTTATTACGCTGATAGTGAGTTATACTAAATAAACTTGAAATGTGAATTCATGGTGAAGCCATGTTGCCAATTAGAAAATAGAATTATTTTATAAACTAAAGTGGTTTGTTTTAGGTGACTGCTCTTGATCTAATCTAAAGGACTAGGGTGATTTGTGTAGATGTAGAAGAATCTAACGAATTACACTTGTGCAAAAACAAGTGCGATGTGGGAATCTGGTATACAATTGTGTAAAAGCAAACGAATTTATTTTGTTATCAATTGAAACGTCACATTGAAGGAGAAGAGAGCTTGTGGTATTAACAGCGCGACGCTGGTCAATTATCAGTCTAAGTTATTTTCGAGGGACCGAAGTAGTAGTCCATTTTCAAATGTTGGAGATCCTGTTAAAAGCGTCAGTCCGCAGAGCAAACTTACGTAAGCTTGTATACGCGTAACGGTTGTCAGATATATGATTGGAAAAGAGCACAAGTTTTTATGTAATCATTAACATTGTTACACATTGGAACGACGAAGATTATGGAATGTAAGTGTTGGGCCGTAAAATCCATTTGCCACTGAAAGTTAATATTTGAGTCAAGGAGTAGTTAGTTTACAATCGAACATTTAGTTTTAGCCAATCCTATTGTACAAAACTAGCTAACAGGCTTGAAACTGGCGAAACTACGATGGTTGTTGATAAGCTTGCAATGGGAAGAACGTTTCTAATGCCTAGAATGATGCGCATAACGTATTTAGGAATCTTGACCAAAATTTCATTTCTTCCAATCCAAAACGCAACGCGACACTTTTACGGATTTTAATCAGAAATTACCAACTTTCATACGAGCCATCGGAGCGTGACGGCTGCTGCCAGACACTATTTTTACCTCACTTTAGGGGGGACGCGGCGGTTTCGCTTTTTATTCGCGAGTTTGAGCTGTTGCTTCGTTGATTGTCAATGTTCACCTGGAGTGTACTGGATCAGGTATGTCGTAATATCTTCTTTAAAGGTATAAAGTACGGTACCGTACTATATATACTATGCTAACTATATTAGATAGGATGTCTGGGTACCAGTACCTGGTAGCACTGAAGTTCGGTACCTGTCATACAGCTGTACAGTTCTTCAAGTCGTGTTAGTGCCACTGCTTACTACCGCGTTTTCCTGAAAATAGGACCTAGTCCAATTTATGAAAATTATTGTAATATAGACCCTTTAAAATGAGACCTAGTCAGTAGTCCATACTCCATAGCCTAAATTAGAAAAAATTGTAACTTAGGTGGCAAATTTGTGGAGCGAAATCACAGACTAAAAAACGTCTGTTTTGCTGACTTGACTACACAAGGTGAATATAAATTGTAATCGGAAACCTCACAAAATAGAGTATGACAAACCTTTCAAATATAGCATTGGACCAAAAGACTCCAATGATGAAATAACAAAACATGTTGATTTTAAACAATCATATATTATAGTATATATTTCAATATGCACATTAATGGCAAGGTGAAATGGCACGAAGTTTCTTAAATACCGATATGATATGGCTGTTCAACATATATAATGTTCGTTGCATTTTTGATTTTATATAATAGAATCTGAATCTATATAATAATTACATTAAAATCATGGACTATGATGAAGTTTAAATCTGACTGTGAAATAGGAAAACAGTCTCAGTGAACTTTTTGCCACCAACTAACAAATGTCAGCCGGGCCATTGCGTGTCATCAAAAATCCGGAGAACAGAAACATACTCAAGCCTTATAAGTATAAAGATGATTACATAAGTAATAGAAAATTTGGAATGAGCTGCTTGAGGTATGTCCTATTTGATGAAGCAAAATCAATTCATCACGACTGTAAAAGCTTCTATTACCTTTATTCCTAAAATCAGCACCATTTTTATTCAATTGACGATTCGTTCGCTGTTCTACATAGGTATTATATTCAAAAATTTGCATTGAACCATATTTATCATGTATGTTTTTCTCAATATATTTCAGATGATTATGATACAATCACAAAAAGAGATGTGGTAAAGTTCAAACAATGTGTACCCTTGCTAAGCATGCTTGGTTGGGAATTGTGTTCTCATGTTGTTGCAATATATTTTGAACCTACATTTGTTGGGAATTCTAAATTAAGCAAAATATTATTGTGTTCAAATTTGAATAGAGAAACTGTTTCTTTTTTAATTCTGTTGCATCCAAAGCCAGTGTAATAAGGACCAGATCCCAATTTATTGTTAATTTGAGACATAACTTTTTTCAAAAATTTAAATCTACTATAAATTTCAAATGCTATTTATATATTAATTTCTTGCATGCCACCATTATTGCAATTTATACAAATCAACTTCTGTAAATGTCCTTTTTAATAATAATAAAAAATAATATAATTATTGTTGAGTGTTCAAGGGGCGCGAGTTTGACATCCTCTGGTCTACCATGCTAAGAATGCATCCAAATGCTATCCAGTCTTCAACCCCGATCATCTTGTAACCAAATTCCACATGCAGTAGGGCATTTCCGCAGAGTCCCAAACACTTGGGGATTCATTCCTTTTCCTAATTTTCACTTGTAATCTTATTATCAAGTCATGATTGGTACCTAATCAATGGTGAAATTTCCTTTTTCTGATAGCTGCTTTCTCCCTCCATATAGTTACATTCATTGGCAGTTCATTACTCTTGCTTGCAAAGTACTTCATTTCGTGGATAGCCCTTAGGTATGTAATCCTTCTCCTCTGGAAAGCTTACTTCCCAAATATCAGGCAAATGTACTCCAATTGCCTAGGAATCCTGTCTGCCAGTACCGTCACTTTTGAAGTAGATTCCTCTGATTTGTGTGGAAGTATACTGTGTAACAAAGCAGCTCAAAAGTAAAACAGATATACAAGCTAGTCTGTATAAATTCTATAATGAGAAAAAGACTGTTGAAAAAACGCTAACACACAGCGAGATATTAAAACAAGTCAAAGCAACGCAACGTCAAGACAGGTATAAAACTGACGTACCGAGCGTCCTCCTAAACAGCACAAAAACGTAGCTGGCAGCATCGGTCAAAGGTTATGAAAGTTGGTAATTAGATGTTTTGGCCCAGAACTTACTTCGATGGTGCCATCTATGTTGACACTTTATAAACAACCGTGGACATAATTTCTGAATTATAGAAAACACTTCAAAATACGCAACGGTAACGTGAAGCACCTCTCAATGTCAAGCATGAACATACAAATTTATTTTGTTAGCATTCATCCAAAATTTAAGATAAAAGCACTTGAGTATAGTGAGAACTTGTAGTAACACTTCAAAATACTAAAAGTATCTTGGATTATCTCTCAATGTCAAGCATGAACATACAGTGGTAAAGGATTGGCAAATTTCTTTTGTTATCGGTCATCAGAACTAAGGAAAAATCACTTGGGTGTATTTTGACTTATTAACGCGATAGAATGGGCAGTATGACAGTCATTGCGCGTAGCACTGTTGTTGTGTTTTGCTAATAGTATAACGGTACGTAAAAAGGCTTTCCTAAAAAACATATGTATGTGATAGATGACATATTTGAGATTCATATTTTTTAGGATGGGTTATGCGATTCATATTATTTTGCTAGATATTAATTAGTATTTCCCGGAGTCGGAATATGAATTTTGGTGCTAATGCTCGACTATTGTTCTTGCTGGTGATTGCATTACTGATGCTGTTGCAAGCTGCAGTTATGGTTGAATGTCAAGGAGGAGGGGGAGCATTTGGAGGAGGATTCGGTAAGTAGAGTTGTTACTGCTGAAGTTATGGAATTTGAAGATATGTCTAATTCATTTTGATTGTATATAGTATGGGATAGGACAACGGTTAATAGCTTTAAAAACGTTTCGGCAACGCGACATAGGAAAGATAAAAAAGATGAAACTTAAATGATACCAAATTTACGAGTGGGTGGATAGTTGTGCTGTTGCCCGCTTTCAAATATTTGTTGGCCAGACAGTAAATTGAAGCCCACTTGAATATAATTGATTGAATTGAATATTATGTTTTGCCAAACCAAATGATAACTTCAAATAAAATTTGAGTCGACTCTGAATTTTCAGGAGGATTCTTGGATCAGTTGGAGGATAAAATCCTTGAAGAATAATGAGGTTATAGTATATTTTAAAATTTCTATTTTTAGCCACCGGGACCAAATGCATATTTGCTTTATAAATTTTGTATTTTATTTCAGGTGTTCTGCATGAAGTTCAGAATATAAATAGAAATATATTGTGAATAACACTATTTGAAATGTATCTGATTAGCAATAAATAAAAGCTAAATCGAAATAAATTGACTTATGATTTATATCAATATGGTTAGTTTGAATATATACACAGAAAACGACCACTGAACAATTTTCTACTCAAGTGTCAATCAACAAGTTGTGCGTTTGTGGGAGTGTTAAAGCTTGACAACAGCTAGATTAATTACGTGAAATATTGAGATGTTTCATAATGGGTTGCGATGAGTTTCGAATACAAAATACTCTACTTGGCGTAGAAACCATCAAGTTCAAACACCTTGTTTACATCCGTGATCATTCACTATGGCACCAATCTCGGCGCTTGTGGTGCCTAAAAGTCTTAAAAGGTAAAGGAGAGAAAAAATTTACCAAGGATACAAAATAGAAAAAAAAAGAATTAGAAAGTGGAAAAAACGAGAGAATATATGGTATCTAAAAAGAGAGGAACATTACACTGTAAGCTTAGGGTATTTGCATTTTGGAACATGAAACGTATTCTTGAATTATTCAAATACCTCAGTATCAGCACAAAAAAAAACCGATATGATGACCAGAGCTAGAATTTCAAAAAAGAAAATTACTAGTCATTCGAGACCTCTTTAATGTTTTATGCGGGTATGACAAAAATAACAAAGCATGCGCCAAGCAAGTCATACAGGAAGTTGTCATATTTTAGTTCACAATAAATGTATCAAGCTACCGCGAATTGAATTACATTTCTTTGTTTTGCTTGCTACGACGTGCAATGAGTTGTTCAGTACAGTAATGTAGAATTTTTTGTTCCTCCCAGTAGAAATAGTTAATTGCTGCAATTATCTTAAAAGTTTCAAACTTTTTACTTTGAATACATATATTAAAACAGACAGTATTCATTGACTAATAAATAAAATATGAAATACCGATAGAATGAACTTGAAATAAAAATATTTTGAAAAACGTATGGTGAGCTGTTTTTTTCGCTTGGAGATATAAAAGAGATATATGAAATAGTTTGGTTAATATATAATATTTTCGAAAATAGCAAGTATAAGGATTTGTTTGAAGCTAAATGGTGGCGCTTAAAGTTCAATAAAATATTTTAGGCTGGCACGCCTGAGGCTAGAAAGTATTATTATTTACTACGAAGAAATAGAAAAAAGAGATTGAGCTAACAATAAAATTTAGAATTGAAGTTTTGAATATACACGACTCGAGCTATGTTATCGTACATTAGATGCTTAAAAAACTTTTGCTTCACTCAAATTTTTTCTATGAATGAAATTTCTCGATTGTTTGCTGAAACTCAATATCACAGACGAAAAGCTGTAAAATGTTTAAGATGTAAAATGTTTAATGCGGCTTTGTCGAGCAGAAACTGTAATGACGGTCCGTACAAGATTAATTTGCTTTAAGGACCAAGAATGGGCAAAGTCATGTTTATGATACACCTGCGGTAGCTTCATATAAAATCATTTATTGAACCGGCCCATTGTACAAGACGCTATTTTTCAAAATCACTCAAGTAATTTATATATTTGTTTCTATAATTTATTTAGTTTTATAATTGCTACACAGTAACATAGTGCTTTGCAGACCACAATTATGAATTCAGGGGCTACTGTAAAAAGTTTGAAGATAAAATCTTGAAAGAATAATGAGGTGATTATATATTTTAAACTTTCCATTTTTGGCCACTGGACCCAAATGCATATTTGTCTTATAAATTTTTTATATTGTTTTAGGTGTTTCGCATGAAGATTGAAATATACATGAAAATATATTGTGTATTAAATATTTTGAAATGTATCTGAAGAGCAATAAAAAGAAGCTGAATCGAAATAAATTGACTTTGATTTGTATCAATATGGGTAATTTCAATATATACACAGAAAACGGCCACGGAACAATTTTCTACTCAATCAGTGTGTCAATCAGCTAGCTAGTTGTGCGTTTGAGGGGAGTGTTTAGGCCTGACAACTGCTAGATAAATTGATTGAAACTGATCAGGTCAAATTTATAATAAAGAAACGAGCTGCTATATATCTAAAATATATTTGATAGGCAATAAATAAAAGCCGAAGCCAATTCTGGATAGTATCAATACATACAAAGAAAATGGTCACTGGATATATATCTGCTCTTACGTCATGAACAAATTGCGTGATTATTGAACGTGTTCAAGCCTGACCAGTGTTAGGTAAATCAATTGAAATATTGAAATGTTTCATAATGATAAGTTTTGAATACAAATCACTGGGCTTGGCCTTCGGATTTGCTGATTGTAACGCTTTGTTCACCTTTGTGATCATTTACTACGATATCATTTCTTCGCCTTAATCGGTTGATGAAACTGAGTTCGTTTTACTACGTATTTTAAAACTTAGAATTAATGAAAATAAATCAATGCAAGAAATTGCAAATAAATATCGAAGAAAAAACAAAATGGGGAAATGTGATGAGAACAAGAGAGAATGATTCTATCGGTAACGCTTCTCCGATCTCTTGACGCGATTTGTATTCAACATCTTAAAACCTTTTTCTTTCCAACAATCTGTCAAAATTTGAATTGCCATTTTATCTATGTCATATGACCAGAAGATTTACCCAACATATCCATTATAATATATCTTTGGGAAGGTCTTCTTGAATACTTTACGCTAGATGTCACATTAGGACCGTAAATTCAAATTTGTATTGATGAGGTCTCTCGAAACGCCGAAACATGAAAATCAAGTTAACGCCTTATAGTTTACACAGGCCACAGCAAAACATCACGCATGCGCTTAGTGGAGAGTGGGAGATTTCCAACCGGAAGAAACAAATAAGATTCATATAATATTAGAGGATTTTTTAATATTTGTGTTTTAGATATGCGATAAGACAACAAATTAATGTACAAAATTCAAACTTTGTTTCATAATGAAATAATTGGAGAAGTATTGTAGAAAATATATTTGAATTAATACGGCAACAAAATGGGAAAGGTGGAATTAGAAAATACTCGGCATTGGTTATGTTGAACCATATTGAAATTTAACTTTCTTCAACTATGTGCCTACAATTATTTGAATGAGAGCAAACTATCATATTTGGTAGCAAAGATATGAACCGACATTAGATAGTTAGACATTAAATAGTGTTTCTCCGACCCGAAATATGCATTTCAGAGCGAATGCTAAACTATTGATCGTGTACATAAATTTACTACTGAAATTGCTGCAAGCCATAGACATTGTTTCTTGTCAAGAACGACTAGACTGGCGTAGGTAGAATTATTATAATGCTCTGATGTTATATTTGAAAATTGTTTCAAAATCGTTTCGTTTGGTATTTACTACAGTATTAGATTTTAATAAAATTTTCAGTGTTAATTTAGGATTTATATTTGTTTAAGTTTCGAAAATTAATAATCCAAACCCACCATTTACTTCACGCTGTACTCGTTTGATACGCAAAACTCAAAAATTGTTGAAAAGTGCCCATAGACTCACTGTGAACAGTGGAAAAACGCCAAATTAACTCCTAGTCGATTCAAAAAAATTCAACAACTTTGATTCAAGTCAAAATATTATCTAAATATATTAAAACTATGAAATAATTGATTGGTTCATTCCAAAAGTTTTGAATGAGAGCGATTTATAATTTGTTTATCAGGTTCCTACCCTGCTGGTCTGAAAATGAATTCAAGTTGACCAACTAAACCAAAAAAATTGAAAAGCTTGGTACCAATGCCAAATACAGAACTGCCTGACAATAAATTATTGTATAAAAACTCTTAATATGTGTGGCAATTGTGTTTAAAGAGGCGGATTCAAATAACAATTTGAGATGAATAATCAAATCAATATTGGAACAAATTATCGAATAAAATGAAGTAAACTTATTTTAATATTTTGGTGTTTTCGAAGGGAAAAAAAGCATATGTGATTCTAAATATTGTTCTTCATTCCAGGCATTCTTTGTGGATATCAAAATGAACACGGAATCCTATAAAATATAATAGTATTTGCAGTATATCTTATAAACAGTTAAGCTGAAACAGTTAAGCTGAAAACAATAAAAGCTGAATTTAACTATATTAACATATGACTTGTATTCAACAAGGCTAATTCTTGGTCAGTCACGTGAAATAAAGATAAGTTTCGTACTCCTGTGTTTTTGAACCAAACATACTACAAAAAATGTTCTTACCGTACGTGCGTGTGCACGAAATAAACCTTCATCATATATTGAATACGTTTGTTAAAAATAGTTGGCAATTGTCAGCAATTGTCATATATTATTTAATTACTTAGGACTGACAATCAAAGTATCACAGCAATTTAAAAGAGGCTCTTTCCAATTAGAGTGAGATCTTAAAAATAATCATGAGAAAGAGAGTACTTGAGAAATAGAGAGAGATGAATATTACATGATAGATACAGAGATAAAGGGAAGATTCTGTCGCTTGAGCCTAGTCTCCGGTTGGTTATAAATGGAAGAACGAGAGATAATTGACTTAAGAGTGAGGAGAGTATTTTATTGAGATTTCTTGCGACACAAAGAAACAGGTAAATGACGTTCAAAATTTAGTTCAACATAACTTTATTTTGCAATGAAAAGCTAGTCAACGTGTTCAATTTAAGATGTTAGTAGCGAAGTATAAATTAATTTATGGTTTACCATATTACATTTGGTTGTACCAATTCCTTTTTTCAATTATACAATTAAAATAGAGCTGGGATGGGTTTTGCCATACTAAAATTTAGGTCTACTTGCCCTCTTTTTCTAATGATACAAATAAAATTAAAAATAACACTGTGATTTCCACATTGCATGTTATTTGCAAACATTTTTTCGCGTGAAGAATGGTAATGAAACACGTCAAATAACTCCAAAATTAATTGCATATCATTTCCTCTCAGTAGGTAGCATTTCAATTTAAAATCAATATCTCGAGTTCACCTGCAAGAAATATTGTTTTTTTTGTATTCATTTGCTTACAATGTGCAGACAGTTCTTCTGAAAAATATGTAATGTACTCAGAAAATGAATTGTGAAGATATCTGTTTT